AAAGCTAATATAAATTTAAGGGCAGATGGTCCCTAGTGTAACAAAGAGAGTTACTACTATTTGGGCATATTTTATATTATCACTTTAACTATTGTTTATTTATTTATTTAAATAAAAAACTACTCTTGATTCTTTTTTCTAAAAATGTATATATATTTAAAAAATCATCCTTGGATAAAGACAGCTTCTTCCAGTTGTGCCTTACATTACTTTCCACATTGCACTGGAACCTTTTTAGAATGGAATAAGAGGAGAATGGACAGTGGATGAAAAAACAAGTAAGTTTTGCCACTGTTGGTGAACACACATAAGGGATGGTGTATAGATTCTTTGCCTTTCAGCTCCTGTAGGTGCTTTCTTCTCCATGTTATTCTTATTGGAATCTTTTATGATTGGTGCTATATCCGCCCCCCTCCCCCCCAGCCCCACCTTGTTTTAGACTAATATTTTCTATAAAGTCAGCCATCTTTGCTAACCTTTGATTTCAAATTTTGGTTGAAGAGTTAAGCATCTATCATAATGTCTTAGAGACAGTTGCTGGACCTAAAAAGCCCCTATAAAACATGAGCTGCTATAAGAACAGTTAGTTGAACTGGGCTGTAGCTGGTAGTTGTTTTTATTGTAGTGACCACAATCAAGTTTTCTGTGTGCATTCTCTGTTCATTCAGCAAGCATTTAATGAGGATGTAATATAGTCCTGACAATTAATAGGTGCTGATTTTACAATAATGAGCAAAATACAAATTATCATTGTGTTTGTGAAGATTAAATTTGAGAGTTTCTCATACATACACTTACAGCAGTATGAATCATATCCTGATTAGGGTGTTACTTAAAACAATTTACTCTGGGCAGGAACATGGTGTGCTCAATTATAAAAATGGCCACAAATTCTTTCCTTCAATGCATCCACACCATTATAATGTGATGTTACAGATCTTTCTGACAAGCAGTGGAGTCAATTACTCCAACTCTTTTAAACTAGGTTGGTTGTGTGACTTGCTATGGTCAATGTGATATCAGCAAATGTCACAGAACACTCACCACTTAGATACTTCTGGCACTCAGTGTTAGCAAATGATGCCCAAGCAAGACGAATTTATTCCTTATTGATTGTAGAGCTTCTTTTACTTCCTCATTTCATAGGTGGTAGATAAGAAGATTTAACATGAGAATTATAATGCCACAAAATATCGATGTTGCATTTTTCTATTCTGGAAACTCATTAGATCCATACTGTAAGTACATGAAAGAGAAGGCCTCAAAGAAAACTGAGAGCTGTTAGGCAGAAGACATCTATGGGGGAGGCCTTTTCTCTTCCTTTGTAGCACAAGGTAAGCCCAGGATGGTGGAAGATATGTTTGTACAAAAGATGAAGATCAACACAGTTGAAAATCAGTTTAACTATAGCACAGATTAACAAACATTTCCACTAAATGTATTTTCTTTTTTTTATTGCTTAAAGTATTACAAAGGGTATTACACTAAATGTATTTTCAATAAAATTGTTTATTGAGATGATTGTAACTTCATGTAAAGTTGTAAGAAATAAACTAGAGAGATCCCTTGTACACTTTTCCAAGATTCCTCCTGTGAGTAGTTCCCCCCAAATGTCCATATCCAAATCCCTGGGATCTGTGAGCATGTTAGATTGCATGGCAAAGAGGAACTAAGGTTGCTAATCAGCAGAACTTGAGATGGAGAGACCACTCTGGATTTTCCAAGAGTCCTTAGCATTAGAAGAGGAAAGCAGAAGAGTGAGGGTCACAGAGAAGTCTGATGATGCTGTGATGTTGGCTTTGAAGATAAAGAAGTAGGCTATAAACCAAGGAAGATAGGTAGCTTCTAGGAGCTAAAAAATAAAGGAAATAGATTCTTCCCTAGAACTCCCAGAAAATCAAGAGAGTAGATTTCCTCCCTAGAATTTTCCAAAGGTACATAGTCCTTCTGACATCTTGATATAGAGACCCTTTTTGGATGCTGTCTTCCAGAACTGTAAGATAACAGATTCGTGTTGTTTTAAGCTACTAAATTTGTTACAGCAGCAATGGAAAGTGAATACACCCCCAATGATAACATTTTGCAAAAGTATAGTATGATATCACAAACAGGATATTGACATTAATGCAATCTATTGATATTACTCAGGTTTCTCCAGCTTTACTTATATACTCATTTGTGTGTGTGTTTGTGTTAAGTTCTATAAAATTTTACCACCTGTGTAGGTTCCTGTGTTCATGACCACAGTAAAAATACTGAACAGCTCCCACCACCAAAACTATAGGAGTATCTTGTATTGCCATTTTATAACCATCCCAACCACATCCTTTTCCTCCTCCACCCCTCATCCCTACCTCACTCCATACCTAAACTCAGGTAATCATTGAGCAACCCTCCATTTCTAAAATATCATCATTTCAAACATGTTGTATAAATGAAATCATACAATATATAACTTTTGGGATTGGCATTTTTCACTCAGCATACTTCCCTGGGTATTTATTCAACTTGTTTGTTATGAGTATCAATAGTTTATTCATTTTTATTCTTGAGTGATTTTACTTTTTAGAAGGGTGTCCTCTTGATGGTTGAGCTTTGGGCTTCAACCATCATGGATATTTGCTTGGTCTTTATACTATGTTGGCCTCTAGCTACTCTTCCAGTTGCTTCTCTCAGACATCTGGGCTGCTATTCTGAGCTGGGAATGATCCTACATCTATATCCTTTTCTTTCCTTGGGAAAAAGGCCTCCCCTTTTTTGGGGGTGGGGGTTAGATGCCTCCTAAATCTTGTGCTAGAGATGGTATCTGATTGAGTTGTAGCTGTCCAGTGATTCTATAAATGTTTGAATTTGCAAATAAATAAATAAATAAATAAATAAATAAATAAATAAATGTGCGAAGTGCTCATTCAGCCAAGAATAGGGTCCATATCTCCCTGTTCTCGTCAGTCTAAGTTGGGCTCAAACAGCCTAAACCAGTGGTCGGCAAACTCATTAGTCAACAGAGCGGAATATCAACAGTATAACGATTGAAATTTCTTTTGAGAGCCAAATTTTTTAAACTTAAACTATATAGGCAGGCACATTGTTATTAACTTAATTAGGGTCCTCCTAAGCTGGCCTTTGCTAAAAACCTCCTCAATCTGATTGAGGTACATTCGCTGAGGTCGACCCCTTCCAACTCTCCCATCCTCAACTCGTGCATGATTCTTCAAAATAGACTCGCCCAGGCTGAAAACCAACTTCTGCGCATGGGCCACGAAGTTTCAATTGCACTGTAGGTGCGTGCCCACACGTGGTATTTTGTGAAAGAGCCACACTCAAGGGGCCAAAGAGCTGCTTGTGGCTCGTGAGCCGGGGTTTGCCTACCACTGGCCTAAACTGTAGCTGTTGATTTATGAAACAATGTACGATTATGCAACATCAGGCCGTTACTTCTCTCTATGATGTCAGAAAGGAAGATTGTCTCTTGCAGACATGATAACAAACCCAAATCATCCGTTTCTTCCTTCACATATGTCTCAGAAATGTCACTCCTTTTGTCCATTTGTCACAGAGTTTATTTCCTTTTGGGATTTCTTTCATCTCAGTATTGAATGCGGAATACTAATGTGACACTCCACTTTGTGCCCTATTTCCAATTAGCCAGATAGAGTTCCTAACTTGTACTAAATTTTTCTCTGTTTTATTATCTTTCCTCTCTGGCTATGAGATACAATTGACAAAATTTATATATCTTTAAGGTATACAAGTTGATGTTTAGATATAAGTATACATTGTGGAATGATCACCACATTGAAGCTCATTAACATATCCCTCACCTTACAGAGTCACCATTTCCTTCCTTCCTTCCTTCCTTCCTTCCTTCCTTCCTTCCTTCCTTCCTTCCTTCCTTCCTTCCTTCCTTTCTTTATGGTGACAGTGCTTAAAATTTACCCTTTGAGCAAATTTCAAACATATGATATAGAGTTTCAACTATAGTCACCATTAGTCTCCAATTTCTCCCTCTAGGGCCTCAGGATATCCTCTGTCTACCTTATGATGACCCCCCAGCTATAGTCCCTGGGCCTGATCTTTGAGATAATTGGACCTTCCTTGGACAGAAGATATCTTCCTTTAGAAAGAGAGTCTTTGCTGGGGAGATTCTGGTAATCTTACACTGACTTCAAATTATTTATCTTCTCTTAGAATTTAAGTAGGATAGCATATTTGAAAAAACGTATCTTCATCTCTTGCCCAATTCTCCTATGCTGTTATTTAACAGTACATTTTTCTCATCAGTGCATTACACTGGCTGGTGTTATTTAAACTGAAGCTTTCTCTTTCATCTTGCTAGCATGGCATCTCGAGATTCATGTGGGAGTTTCCATCATTTACCTTCAACCTATCAACTAAGGCTTTGTTTTTTTTTAAAATCAAGTCTATCTTCCTGATTCAATGGGCTCTTTGCTTCCCTTCAACTTTTCATTAAATTCCTATCGTTTAAAGTTATTCATTTGGACTAAAATGATCAGGCATGCCTTTCATAAATGAATGACCATTGTTTACATTTTTAGAACTATTTACGTTCTAGATTTTTTTAAAAATATATTTTTATTGATTTCAGTGAGGAAGAGAGAGATAGAAACATCAGTGATGGGAGGGAATCATTGATTGGCTGCCTCCTGCAAGCCCCCTACTGGGGATTGAGCCTGAAATCTGGGCATGTGCCTTTGACCGGAATTGAACCCTAGACCCTTCAGTCCATAGGCCGATGCTCTATCCACTGAGCCAAACCAGCTAGGGCCATTCTAGATTTTCTACCTCTAATGGAGACAGATATCAAAAGTGTTTCTAGAAGTTTCCTACTTTATGCAAGAAAGAGATACATTAAGAATAAAGTGGGTAACTAATATAAAAAAATAAATCATAACATCATATAAAAATGTGTTTTTAAGTACTAGAGAATGTAACTAATAGGGGATTATTAGGTAGAAAGCATAATAGCCTAACACATATGGTGTTTTCAAATCAGTTTATTTTATATTTGGATTTATGCAACAATTAGAACAGAACATATGTGAAGCCTCTTTGTAGACAAGTTAGAGAACTTGTTAAAATGAATGGGGAATAATGAAATTGAGTTTTAAAATTAATTATATACAACATTGGAGTTTTCTGGTCTTTAAGAACATAGCCAAAATATTTGAAACAACTAAGTATTTTGCAAAGTCCATACACACTTCTTAATATTTTAAATAATTTAAATAAAGCCCTTCTTCATGGGTAGTATGAAATATGTTTCTCAAACTATACTTAAGGGAAAATTAGTCTCATGAGATGTTTAGATATTTTCCATATTCTAAGAACTTATCTATTGAAAGAGGTAGCATTTTTTTAAGTTGTGAATGTGTTTCCAATTTCAGAAACATTACATGGTGGTCAAACATCTTTACTGGATGCCTTGATGTGCTGAATTGGGGTCTAATCTAGAGGATCTTTTCCCCCATCACTTTTAGAGCTTCCTTTACTTCCTTATTCCTCAAACTATAGATCAGGGGGTTCAACATGGGAATCATAATGCCATAACATATAGAAGCCACTTTCATATTCTCCTGGAAATTGCTAGAATGAGGCTGTAGGTACATGTATGATAGAGTCCCATAGAAAATGGTGACTGTTGTCAGGTGGGAGGCACACGTGGAGAAGGCTTTTTTCCTCCCTGTGGTAGAAGACATCTTTAGGATGGCAACCATGATAGAGATGTAGGAAAAGATGACAACCAGCACAGTGGACATCAAGTTAAATCCCACAAAGACAGCAAGTAGCCTAATGTTGATGTCAGTGTTGGAGCATGAAAGGGCGAGGATTGGTGGAACATCACAAAAGAAGTGATTGATGGCATTGGACTTGCAGAAGGACAATGAAAATGTAAAACCTGTGTGCACAGAGGCATTTAGGGAGCCCATGACGTATGAGCCAGCTACCAAATGGATGCAGACTCTTCGGGACATGACAATGGGATAGTGAAGTGGGTTACAGATGGCCACATAACGGTCCACTGCCATAGCCGCCAGGAGGTAACAGTCACTGGTCGCGAATGTTGCGTAAACCAGTAATTGCATAACACAGCCCCTGAATGATATTGATATATTTCCTACTATGAAGTTCTGCAGCATCTTGGGAGTGATAGCAGAGGTATAGCAGATATCAACGAAAGCCAAATGTTGTAGGAAGAAGTACATGGGTGTTCGAAGTCTGGAATCTGTCTTGATGAGCAGAATCATTCCGATATTACCCACCATAGAGGTCACATAGATGACCAGAAATACAACGAAGAGAGCATACCGAAACTTGTGTTGGGCACCAAATCCTAGAAGAAAGAACTCAGTCGCTTCAGTGCTATTTTCTTGTGTCATGGCTAGAAAGGACCCAGAGGAGAATAAAGAAAAGAAGGGAAATGTTTAGGACTTATTGAAAGAAGAAAGCCTCTTGCATTTCATGTCACATTTTTTTTTGTATTGGATTTTCAGGCAAACATTCACAATAGGATTTATTGCTTAGTAAACACTTCCTCTATTTTCTCAAGAATGAACCACCCCAATAAAAGTGATATCTGAGCCATGCATTCATTTTCTAAAGATTTCATAGAAGACGGACCTCTAATATGTGTGATTCTAAGAAACATAGATTAAAACATGTTTTTACCAAATTAAACAGATATATACATTTAATATTGTAAAGCAATGCTAAAATAGGACTTGAACCCTTTCAACAACCTATAGTTTTTCTCAGTCATTTATCAGTTTAATCCTGGTTCAAACTCTTGAAATTTGTCCATGTGGAGATAAAGCAAAATGAACAGAAAAAGAATTGGTTAATCTAGGTGAAGTGTATACCAGAATTCCTTGTACTATATTTATAATTGTTATGAAGGTTTTATATTTAAAAATCTAATGAAAAACATAGATTATAAAGATGTTTTCATACAAGACAATGAAGAGAGTTTACCATCAAGAGTTGTGCACTGAAGATGCTTCTAAAGACTGTTATTCAGAAAAGAGGAATACACTCTGAAGGAAGTCTCAGAAGCAAAAAGAAATGAGTGCAGACATTGGGAAACATATGGAAAAACAGGAATAAATAGAGTACAAAATAATAATATTGTCCATGGGGAAGTGATAAACTAAACATATCAGCAAAAACTAATATGTTAGGTTGGAGGGTTCATTAGGTTTATCGAGTTCTAAAATTCTTGTCCTTAGACTTTTACTTATATGTATATATTTTCAATAATTACAAAAGATAAAACTGAATTTTTTAGGTTTAGAAGAATAAATGAAATTTTAAAGTCAACCAATCCAGATTAACACAGTAGGGGAGAGGAAACAAATAATAGAAAATATCAAGATAAATAGAAATCACCTAAGAAGGCATAAATAAATCCAAATAAATTAGTAAGGAAAATAAATATAAATGGACTAAACTCATCATTAAAATTCAAAGATTGTCAAATTGGATTTTAAAATGATAAATTGAGCCATGTGGTTACATACTAGACAAAAATTGAAAAGAAATTAAACAACTAATGGTTAAATAAATAATGGTATAGAAAACAATAGAATATTATGCATTAGGAAAAATAAATTACAAGAACTACATTTCTTAGCCCAAAACTTAGAAACATAATGCTGAGGAAAAGAGCTATTGACTGACTGACGACATTACATATAATACCAGGACTTCAATGGTATTAGTGGCATTTTATATCTATAGCTATTTGTTGCATGTGTTTATTTATATTTCTGTGCCTTTTTATAATTGTTAACTATTTTTGTATGTATTTTACACCCTTAGATTGTTGTTAAGCACAAGTTACAGCATATCATCTCTCAGCAAGTCAAATTGCTGCCAGTTTTATTAACTCGAAGCCTTACCTTCTTGATAAGACATTAAAGAAACAAGAGTAGTACTATTTTAGGTTCTAAAGAGGTAAATTAAGTCCAAAGGGGAAAAATAAATTGAGCATCTCAGGTGTTAAAAACAATGTTCACAGACTTATGGTCTAAAATAGTGAATTAGTTATACCCACAGTCTTCAAGTTCAATTGTTATAGTGATTCTCTGTGACAAAGTCAGAGTGAATAGTGTCCAAAAGGAGATACAGATCAAATGCTGTTTGGCTTTAGAGGAAAGATCTCATATTGTTAGAAGGACCTTGCCAGAGAAACCTTCCTTGAAATAAGTAATGTTAAAATTGGGTCTAGGAATATGCTTGGGATTATATAAATTGGAGATCTATATAGCCAGGGAAGGCAACTCCAAGCAGAGAAAGTACTTTGAACGAGGTAAGGGAAAGACACAATAGGGACTTACATTATATATACTTAGGGAGTGTTGCTCTAATTAGCAGCATTTTCTCTATTAAATCACAACAGACTTTTCCTATGTCTCTTTCAGATATATTCTATTTCCCCCCAGCTTTCATATTGAGATGTAAGTGACATATAACATTGTGTAAGTATAAGGTGTGCAATGTGATAATTTGATACATGGATCTATTGCAAAATGTTTACCATGTTAAAGTTTGTTATTACAACCTTCACCTAACACAGTTGTTGTTATGATAAGAACATTTAAACTCTACTCTTACAGCAACTTTCAAGTACACAATACAGTGTTGTTAATTATAGTCACCATGCTGTACATTAGATCCCAGAACTTATACATCTTATTATTGGAAGTTTGTATCCTTTGACCAATATCTTCTTATTTTCCTCACCCTCTGACCCCTGGCCACCACTGGTCTGTCTACTCAAAGATATTCTTAAGCAAAGTAAATCCTGAGTCTAGACCTGACTTCTCCCTTTCCCAAAGTGTTAGCTGGTAACTGAGATGAATACTTTAAGTTGCAAAACCTTTACTGAGCATTGGCAATATCTGAGACATTGTTTTAGGACAGTGGTCGGCAAACTGTGGCCCCTTGAGTGTGGCTCTTCCACAAAATACCACGTGCGGGCACGCACATACAGTGCGATTGAAACTTCGTGGCCATACTCGAGGGACCAAAGAGCCGCATGTGGCTCGTGAGTCGCAGTTTGCCGACCACTGTTTTAGGACATTGTTGAATGTCCAAAGTGCTCTCCACTCACCCTTCAGCAGCTCCTGCTACTGTTTCCACTTTTGAGTTTCTGGAGGAGGATTTTCTGAAGTCTGCAAAGAACCAAAAATAAAATTCCTGGTGTATTTTCCAACTTCCAGGCATGGATTGTCTTTCCAGACACTATAGTGAATGTCTGCTTAGAAAAATATACCAAGAGTTACATTTCTAACAAAGTAATATTTATGGTATAATATCTCTTTCTACATTTGCTTCAAGGTGATGTTTTTGTTTTGGCTATAAATGAGGGATTTATTTTTGAGGGCTGTGGGATTAAGACCTATTCCCTTGAGAATCTCAGACACTGGGGCTGAGCTGAGTGTGCAGTATTGAGTGTCCCAGTTGAGACCATTAGCAAAAACAATTTTTTTTCAAGTTTCTGTCCTTTAGGGACATTTTGCCTTGTTTAATTCCACAAGCTTAGGGACCATATCGCCAACCAGGGGCAGATCTTAGATTTTGCACACTGGATCTTCCGCTTACTCCAAACCTCGGTTTCTTCATTTTATAATAGGGCTAATGAACCAGACATGGCTGCCTCAGTGGTATTGTAGACCAAATGCATATGCATGTACTCATCCTTTGACTTTTGGTTCAGAGAAATGGGCATCATTCTCTCCCCACCCCCTGTGACTTAGATCTTTTCCCTTTTCTTCCCATAGCCTATGGGCATATGTCTATCCATTATCCCATGGTCTAATACGAATTTGAATCACTTGTTTGCTTGGCATGGTGAGCTCCTTGAAGGCAAGCATACTTATTAGTATTTGTGTAGGTAGGCCATGCCTCGCATGGTGTCCGGAATTAGTTCGCATCCAAATCTTCATGGAATAAATAAATGAATGTATGTAAATGAAAGGCATGATCTCTGATAGAGAAATCTACCCCTTCTACTTTACAGTGATGACTACTCAGAGTACAAAACCAGCATCAGTAATAGTAATAATGTTTATTGAGGGTTTGCCATTCCAAGGCATTGGGCTGATAGGTTTTACATGTATTGATTGTCTTGTTTAATCTACACACAACCCGATGGAGTAAGTACTGTTAGTGTGTGAATTTTATAGAGAAAGGAGCTGAGGCTCAGAGATGTGAAGTGAGTCAGGCATGACTACATGCATAGTACAACATGGAATTCAAATAAGTCAATTTGAATACAGAATTGGAGATCTCATTCATCAGGCTGAGCCAGACCCAAAGTTTAAAAAGAACCAGAATCTTCTGTCTTCTTAAGAAAACACATAAATTCAGCGATTCTATGTTAAATGTTTTATGTCAAGGCAATAGATATTATTAGCATCTACTATGTGCCAGGCACTGTTCTAGGCACTTGAGACACATAGGAATCAAGAACATATGGACATGACTCATGGAATTTGCATCTTTGTGTGTGTGGAGAACACACTGCAAACAAAGAATTCACTAATAAGCAAGACAATTTCTGCTATAAAGAAAATACAATACTGTGAAGTGAAGGTGCCTGAGAGGAGACCACCTCAGCCAGGAAAAGCCTCCTTAAGGGATGATACAGTGGGGAAAGCAAACCCTACTGAGGGTAAAGATGGCAATTAGCTTGAGCTTGCTTGTGTGATGCCAAGGACAAGAAAGCAGCCTGGAGGGACTGAAGGGGAACCTGTTACATACACATTGGATCAGAGACCCAGCAAGGATCTTATCATATAAGGCCTCGGGGTATGATAGGAAGTCATTGTAGCTTAAGCAGAGGAAGTGACATTAGATCATTGCACTGGACAGATTGCTCTTGCTGCTGCCTGGAGTATAGATTAAAAGAGCAAGAATGAAAATCAAGAGCCCATATATGAGACTCTGTGGTTTTTTGATTGAAGGATAATAGTGGCTTGACTAGAGTAATATAAGGGAAATGGAGACAATGGTACTTTAATTATGCTATTTTGAGAAGGCAGCCTTTAAAGGAATTGATTTTGGTTTGAATTTAGGAAGTAAAAGAAAGAGAGAAATGAAGTCTGACTCCTAAATTTTGGATCTGATCAATTGTGTGAATGGTGGTGCCATTTAACTGTGATAGAGAAGACTGAATAGGTTAAAATGAAGTGCAGATAAATCAGATAAGACATTCCCCAAACCAACAGAAACAATCCTCAGTGTAATTGAAACATAAACATAAAACGAGTTTCAAAGGCATAAAGAACCTTGTCAAAACTGAAAATGCTGAAAAGCTGCTAACAGGGGTACAGAGGAGCCTAAGGAGACAAAGACTGGATTTCTTGGGCCTCTTTAGAGAACTTTTCAATAGCTGATAACACAGTAAACAATCCCATGGAGCCCCCTCAGCAGCATGGGGCACATGGTAATGCAGGGAGCTTGCTGCAAAGGCAAATGGAAACCAAACCACCACAGCTCACATTCCTTGTATTTCACTCATCATCAATGAATAAAGGGGATAATTTCTAGAGAGGAAAGGACAATCTCATGATCACATGGTTAGTTGGAAGTAGATGTGTAACTATTAAAACCCAAGTTCAGGGCTCTAGAAACACCCCACTGTGGCTTAGGGCAGCCTCACTTTCTTGTCTCTTCAGCTCTGCCCAGTTCTTTCCCCAATAAATCATGTATCAGAATGCACGTACTAGAATTCTCTTGGTGTGAGTCAATGTTTGGGTCTGTCCCAATGAGAAGGGGATCCAAATTGCTCTTGGGCAACCTTTTTCAATTGCCTGAGCAAAGGGTTTCAAGTTACAGGCCTTAACAATTCCATCCACTTAGGCATTTTTCTGGTCCCCATACTGAACAGAGAGCATCAGAATGACACTTGGCTTCTGGGCAGCAATTACCAAAAATTTTTGGAATGCTTGTCATGAGGAGGAAGATTATTTACTGTTTTCATTACTAGGTAGTGACATTTTGTGATTTCTGTTGTTGCTCTTAATTGGGAGATTTTGTAGGCCACATTGAAATCATCAAACTCAAATCAGCTGAGGCCTAGAGGTTAAATATTATTTTGTCTTTTGTAAATAAGCTGCTTTATCATTACACTGAACAGGACTTAAAAGATATAAAAAAGTCCAGCCAATGTGGCTCAGTGGTTGAGTGTCGATCTATGAAGCAGGAGGTCACGGTTCAATTCCTGGTCAGGCCAGATGCCGCGTTGTGGGCTTGATCCCCAGTAGGGGGCATGCAGGAGGTAGCCGAACAATGATTCTCTCATCATTGATGTTTCTATCTCTCGCTCCCTCTCCCTTCCTCTCTGAAATCAATAAAAAACAATTTTTAAAAAATAGGTATGAAAAAGTACCCCCTACCTACCAACCCAATTATCCCCATTCTGAGGCAGTGAAGAGGTGTGTCCTGGCAGAGGGGCTGGGCATCAGGGGGACAGGAACCTAAGGAAGAAGGTAGTGGTTATTTACTAACTGATATGGTGGATTCGTCTTTTAGTAAATGTTATAGCTGAAGTGGTTGGTTACTGTCTCTGGCTGTAGGACTAGTCTCCAGACATGTCCCTTGAGGTGGGGTAGACCAGAACTTTCCAACCTGTCTTCTGGGACATCCTGTCATGCTGAATATTGATTCCCTCATTTTTCAGTTTAGCTGGATGGGGCTTGGGCAGCCATAGTTCTGGGTGGGTCATCTTGTGGGATGAGCATCCTGTTCCATTTACCCTTACCCTTATATTTCATATAAACATTCTCATTTATGTTTGTGTCATTACAGAAATTTTTTCATGGAATTGAAATATGAAGTCTTTCTCTCTGTTTATTAAAATGATGACAAATTTTCAAACATTAGCAATAGAATGTTTTTAGAAGATGGTGATGACATGTCCAGTACATATACTCCAGCCTGGATGTTTAGTTCCTTCTTGAGATGAACCCAATTCAACTTTTGCAAACCAAACAAAGCAAAATTAAATAGACTTTGTTCCATAATGCCTTCTCTCCATACTTGACTTTGCTCATTATCCACTTTTCTAAACCTTCTCCTCTCCCACCTTCTGCCTCATATCTTCTCTTCTATTTTTTGCTAGGACTCAGCTAATCATTATTTTTTCTGGCTCACTTTCTCCCCCTACTCTACATTGGGAACATTTTTAAAATTCTCTGTCAAATCAAGTCTCTCCCTCTACTTTCTTTCTTTGTTATCTCTCTGGAGAGTATGTCCAAGTTAGTATAATTTTTCCTTTATTTCCTTTACAAGGTCCAGAAGGGATTTTCTCCAATTACTTGTTTGGCATCTCCACTTAGGTTTTCTTTCAATACTATAAACTCAAGATGTTTAAAAGCAACTCTTCCCTTTTGTTCCATCTTCTACTTTTCTGTCCTTAGTTAATGTCACCGCCTATAATATGTAAACTTTGCATTATCTTTAGGTTTCTTACAATAAAGAAAAGAAAAACACTTACCTTGAGTTACTTACCATGTTCCATAGATCCAGGCTCCACACCTGTCTCCATCTATTTCTTTCTGTTTCTTTCTATTTCTTCCAGGTTCTCATGATCTCTTACCCAGGTTGTTGCAACAGTCACCTTGCTGGTCTCCCACCTCCATGCCACCCACTTTTCAAAACTTTCTTTTGTATGATTTCAAGATGGTTCTTTCCAGAGCCCAATTCCAATCCCCCCCTCTCTCCAGCTTGAAATTCTCTGTGAACCCATCTAGTCTACTAACCAAGCATATACTTTCCAATCTAGCATTGCAGATTTGTTTTCAATATAAACCCCATTTAACTTTCCAAGCCTACCTACCATTATTCTAACTAATTAATTATTTATTAAAACATCTGTTGGACACTTACTTAATGATAAGCAATGGACTGCTTCTGGTGGTAAAATGTTGAATAACAGCATCAAGGTCATAGTCCTCATGGAGTTTTCAGTCTAGTGGGTGTGCAGGCAGAAATAAATAAAATTTGTGAGGTGCACAGGCCATAAGAGCTTATAAATGGAGAATTAACCTGTTCATTTAAATCTGAGAAGACTTCCCAGAGAAAACAATGCTCACACAAATAAGAGAAAATTACTTTTGATTGCTGCTGAAAAGCCATGGCAAAACACACTTATGAAGAAATGATGTTAATTGACAGTGAGGGAAAAACCTGCTCCTTGCAAGTTTTCCTAGTAATAAACACCTACTATTCTGTTCTTAGCACAGAATCTTGTTCCTGCCTCAGGACTTTGCTTCTAATGATCTTGCTCATCAGGATCTCAGAGCAGGCTTCTTCACATTCTTCTCAAGTTCACCTTCCCCAGATCCCTTTACCCAAACTAGTTCTCTGCTTATTATTCTCTCACAATATCATTTTATTTTCTTTACTAGAGGCCCAGTGCACGAAATTCATGCACACAGGGGGGATCCCTCAGCCCGTCCTGCACCCTCTCGCAGTCTGGGAGCCCTTGGGGGATGTCCAACTGATGGCTTAGGCAGTTGGACATCCTTAGCGCTGCCACAGAGGCAGGAGAGGCTGAGCAACGCTCCCCCTGTGGGAGCACACTGACCACCAAGGGGCAGCTTCTGCATTGAGCGTCTGCCCCCTGGTGGTCAGTGCACATCATAGCAATCATTCTGCTGTTTGGTCGATTTGCATATTAGCCTTTTATTATATAGGATATATAATAACCTTGATTTTTGTTCTATTTACTTGTTTATTGACTGTCTTCTCCATTGAAATGTAAGCTTCAAGAGGCTGGCTCCTGTCCCTCTTGTTCACATCACCAGTGTCTGACACCTGGTAAGTGCTCAATAAATGTTGCTAGATGAAAGAGAATAATGAAGATAAATATTTATATGCATAAATAAAAGATGATGAAAGATAAATGTATATATGAGAAGGTTTATTCTATTTTGAGTTAATAATTGATTTTGCAGAAAGTTAACTATGTTTTAGTCCCATAATGAAGCAAAATTTCCTAAAAATTCCCTCAAAGATGAAGCTGCTACACAATTTTCACCAATTCTTTATTGAAGAGAAGAGATATATTTTGTTGTTTGCATAATCTGAGGTTTATTTTTAAAAGTCAGCTCCTAGAAATTTATTTTCAAATGCATAAAAAATAAGGGAATTAATAAGTGGATGGATAGATAGTAAATGAAAAAAAGTTTGCTAAGGTGTTCAAGTTGAAATTTAGGCGATGGCTATACTGATGCTCACTGTAAAATTCTTTCAACATTGCTGTCTGCTTACAAACTTTCATAAATAATGTTGAGAAAGGAAAAATACCTGAGCATATTCGTGCCCTCAGTAGAGTTTAGGTTCAAGCTCCTATATTTTCTGCATCTTTAGAGTTGATGATTAGGTGATTAGCAGGGAGATAGTCAAGAAAGTTTTTTAGCCAGAACCGGTTTGGCTCAGTGGATAGAGCGTCGGCCTGCGGACTGAAAGGTCCCAGGTTCGATTCCGGTCAAGGGCATGTACCTGGGTTGCGGGCACATCCCCAGTGGGGGGTGTGCAGGAGGCAGCTGATCGATGTTTCTCTCTCATCGATGTTTCTAACTCTCTATCTCTCTCCCTTCCTCTCTGTAAAAAATCAATAAAATATATTTAAAAAAAAAAAAAGAAAGTTTTTTATAATATACTGATTATGCAATACTTATTGCTTCATTTGTATACTTATATTTGGCATAATTTCCAACCAGGATAATTGTGTACTCACTTGGTTAATCAAACGTTTGGCAACTAGAACCTTTGGCTCTCTCCTCTTCCTCCAGCCTGTGCTCTCAAAGCTGGGCCCAGGGGAGTGAATACAGTCAGACCTTGAGGGTGACTCCTGAGTCTTAGTTGTTGCAACCAGAGGAATCATTTTCTCGATTGTGACTAATGAGCCTCTCATCTGGGGAAAGTCTGTCATCCTTTCATTTTAAAAATGATTCACTACCTCTCCATCTTGTGTTTCTGTGTGACTCTAAGGCTTCTCTTGCATTGGGTGGGTCTAGGATGGGAGGAACCCTCACTATAATAACAATAACCAGTATCAGATGGGATGGGTGTTCCTGGCTTGTGAAACGATCCCATTTGCCTTGCTTCATTTGATTGTTCTGACTATGCTGTGATACATGTAGGCCAGGTAATATGCACCACACCTATTTTACACATTGAAGTATGGAGTATATACATGACCTGGCCAATTTCATTGTAGAGTATTAAAGAGATAAAATAAGAATCTAGGTCCCTGACCTCTAATGCAGTCACTCTTACTTAATGCCTAACTGAAAACACATGCAATTTCTCAGAGGTGAATTTCGCCAGGAGGAATACAGTTTTAAAGGAAATAGGATTCAGGTAAGGCCACATAAAGACAGCCACAGAGAAGGTGAATTTTCCTTGGGTTGAAATCATGCTAAGTCATCACAAAATCCCAAATCCATGTCTTTATCCTGTTCTTCCATGTTTAATGCAGTTAAAGGTTAAATCTCAGCTTGACTACGTCCAAGTGAAACTTGTCTGAGCTGAGTACTCTTTTAGGATTGGTGAGTAGAAGTTTGTCAACAGGAACTCTTTCCAAGTGGCCACTGTGCCTTTCATGTGCCCCTCCCGCCTTCCCTTTCCCAGGTATGTGCTCTTGCTGAGGTAGAAATGTTTATTTCATTAGCTTCTGGGAAGCTATTAGAGACATTCCAGGAACACCAACTGCCATATCTTCTAATGCCACTTAATTCCCCATTACTTTGAATTTTCTGGCATGGAAATTAATGAGCATTGACTATGGAGTCAGACATCTCTGAGTCTGAAACTCTACTCCACCACTTTCTACCTTGTGACATTAGGCAAGTTGCTTGGCCTCTCTAGGCCCCAACTTTTTCTTTTATAAAATAAGATTAATTATAGGGCTGTGTCATGGGACCATTAGAAGGGTTAAATAAAATAATGCCAACGAGAGGTACAGTTCAGTACTAAGTGGCTGGTAGATACTCTTAAGTATTGGTAATAATTTTAATGATTCAGAGTTAGAATATGGAAGTGCTTTTCCTATATTAGAAAAAATTTACCTTCCTATGTAGTTAGAAAGAATTACATTTACATACATCCTTTCTTTCCTTCCTCCCTCTTTTTTCCTTTCTCCCTTCCTTCCCCCCTTCCTTCTTTCTTCCCTTTCCTTCCTTCCTTCCTCCCTTCCTTCCTTCCTTCCTTCCTTCCTTCCTTCCTTCCTTCCTTCCTTCCCTCCATACATCTTTACTGATTCTGCAAGCTAGGGTGGAATAAAAATTAATTAAGGAATCACACAAATGATTGTAAAATTATACCTGTAGTAATTGCTATAGAGCATATCACAGTGGAGAAGCTTCCCTGGGATGTGCAGGTGAGAGACAGCTAACCAGATGAGAAGGCGTGAGAGCAGGGAGAGTGACAGAAAGGTTCAGACACTGGGTTCAGGAGCAAAGACCCTGTCGCAGAAGAAATTGTGAGGACTCAAAAGAAGCCATTGGGGCTGCAGCAGAGAGAGCACATGCCAGAGTGTTATAAGGTGGGGCAAGGTACACGGGGAAGGGACAGTGCAGGCAAAGTCTGTAGGCATTTTTCCAGGTTGTTCTTTATTCAAAGAGCCATGGGAATCCATTCAAGTGTTTCAGGTAGGACTGTATTATAACAATCAGGAGTCATTAGAAACCTACATTATGAAGGGCAGAAATGGAATGCCCTGCAGGCTGGATCATCTAAATTCCAAATCAGTGCTCAGAGATCTGGGAAACTGTCAAAGTAACAGGCCTTGGTTCTCCTCCTCTGGGAAATTTATTGAACAAGTAATATAAATATAGTCATGTGTCTCCCCAGATGCAAATAACAGTCACTGCAGGGTGAGATAGAGAAATCAATTGAGAGACTGAATTCAGAAAAAGGACTATTTTATTGACTAGCACTAGTAAGTTAAAATGTATTCCATTATAAACTTTTGTTCTTACCTAGCACCTGTTTTGAACTGTAAGTGAGAGCAGGGAGAGTGACAGAGAGGTTCAGTAACTAGTATAGTGTGTCTGTGCTCTTGCTCATATATTCATGCGGGAAGGGGGGTTGGGGAGGGGGAGCAGCTTACAGATGACCTCGGCTGCAGGGAGAGAAAGCAAAGGGCATGACCTCCATTTAGTTTTCCCGTTTCCCGTACATCATCTGTCTAAATCTCCCAGATTTGTTCCGTTTCACAGTAACCAACTCCATTTGGGGAACTGCAACATGGGCTAGTTTTCACCTTGAGGAAGGAAGGTCTTGAGGTAGTAAGTGTGTCCAGGGAGAGGTCTGGTTGCTATTTCTAGTGACTAGGAGGACAAATCATACTTGAACTTCTCTGGGAGTTGGGCAACCACTGTGCTCCATTCCTACTTGCAACTTGCAACCCTGATTTCAGGCAGGAGTAATCTGTAGATCCACTGGCATACATTATGAAGAATTATGAAGTCAACAAAACTTTTTGAAGAATTATGAAGTCAACAAAACTTTTCTCCCTTTTAATTCCCTATCCAACTTCCCAATTGAATATTACTAGTATTTAAGTGCCCAGTCCTCCCAGACTACCCGTTCTCATTTTCTTAGCTTTGGCATGCATGGCTTACCCTTAGGACATGTGAGTAATTTAATGTATTTTCCTTCATTGCCCCTCTATGGCCCCTGCTTCCTCTGCTTCAACCCCAGTGGCTTCTTTCAAGTCTCCACACTTTTTTTTTTTTTCTGCCACAGGGTCTTTGCTTCACAACCCAGGGGTTAAATTAAGAAAGAAAGAAACAAACAAACAAAAAAAAACCCCAAATATTTTGCAGAGTTTGGAAGAAGGGGATGAAATGCTTCCTGGTAGAATGTCAGACAACAGATAAACCCCTAACGCTGGGGATGGAAGACGTCCATTTGTTTTCTTTCCCTGCAGACAAGGTCATGTGTAAACTGCCTCCTCCCATTCCACCCCCCACCCCATGACTAGATGAGCAAAAGCACAGACATATTAAACATCACTATATTAGCTACTGAGAGTGTCAACCCATCCTTCTAATATTGAAACTCTTTCGTCCTAAGACATGCTTCAGCAGGGGGTTTTGTAACAGATGAAAATGCCTTGACATAGCCTATGATCTAGTTTATAGAAAACATATCCCTCTCTTGCAGTAGGGTCACCTAATAATGAGGTTTGGCAGTTCTGTTTTGGTGGGTAGGGATTAGGCAAACAAATCTTATAGTTAGGGAGAGTCTATTCTTACTTTACCAGTTGCTGTTGGGACTAAAGGTAGGGAGCACTTTTAAGAAATGTTACAACTTGGATATATATATATATATATATATATATATATATATATATGCCAATTACACATGTGCAGTACAATAATGAAAATCTGAAATGAATATTTAAATATTTAGAGATTTTAATGTTAATTATACTCAACATTTAAAGAAAAAGAAGTTCAAGTGTTTAAAAAAGGAAAAAGCAAAAAATTTGTGCTTTACCAGGAACTTCTTAAATGTACAATTCTCTTCAAAGAGCAATTGCCCCGTTTTTCAAAAAGTGCTCTATCTGAAGTCTCTCCTTGACCCTCTTCTCATTGACCCTTGACATTGTCAGTGAGACTTTTACATGGCTCTTGTACTTATGCCCAGGAACCGAGATGATTTGAATAAGGCCTGTTGGTAGGACTAAGTTAAAGATCTTTTGGAAAAAATAATAACATTGGACTCCACTTCCCATTTGAAACTCTGGTCAAAGCCATCTTGTGTTCCCTCTGCTTCTTATTTGCAGAGGAAACCTTCACGGAAAGTTATCATGTATCCTTAGAGTTCACACTCCTGGCACACTCCGGTATGCCAATGGCACTGACAGGTAAGCAGGAAGTTCTTACACATTCACCAGCCTCCTTGAGAGATGCAATTACGTGCACATCAAGGCTGGGATCTGCATCATGTTTCATAGTATGCATCCATCCAGAGGGCTGCGGATTTCTTCAAGGACCTGTGGGAAGAGTGAACGAGATTATCAGGAGGTGAGACTCTAAGATAAAAGCTGCTACTCCATGGAACATATGCTCTTTTACTTGGTTCAGGGTCATGTTGTCATTTTCAGTTATATGTGAAAAATATCTTCTTCTGTTGCCCAGTGGAGGGAGTCAAATACACTGACTTGTGTTTTTAGCAGGTGAGGTCACCTTTCCTTTAGGGAAGAGATTGTTCTTCTTTCAATTACTCTCTTCTGTATCCCAAACCATCACCTACCCTTTTCTCTCGTTTTTTTAAAACTCTTTTGAGATTCTTTAAGATAAAGCATGCAACTGTATAACAATCCATCCAATATACATCTACCCATCTTATTTTATAATGTGAAAGATACTGTTCTCGGCTCTGGGGATGCAACAGTGCATAGGAGAGAGGTAAGTCCTGTCCACATGGAGTTTCTGTTCTAGTGGGAGACACATATTAAAGAATTTGTTACCTAATTTGTTGTTTAGTCATGATTATGACACAAGTCACGAATGAAGAGAGCCAGGTGCTGCAAGAGCATGTGACTTAGTCATAGGCATCAGGGAAGACTGAGGAGGAAAAGGCATTTGAGATGAGCCTTGAAGAGTGAATGAAAATTGACAAGGTGATAAGGACAGGTTGGAAGAACATTCTAGGCAGAAGAAAAGGTGACAAAGGAAGTGAAATGGCAAGGGCAGGGGGTTATGTAACAGATGAAGCGAGGCCAGGTATCTGGAGGGCAGAGAAGGAGGAGGAGAGGGGTAGAGTCTGACACTGGAGCACTAGGCAGGATTGGATCAGAATAGGACTGGCCTTGTTGGCTTCTTTCAAGATACTGTTGTGGTTTTATTTGCTTGTTTTTCCCCCCAATCCTAAAAGGAAGTTATTGAACCCAGATCACTGGCTGTTAGTCTGACCAGCACAATGCTTTCTAGGGACCTGAATGCTTCAGGATGGATATGAATTTTCAGTTCCCTCAGGGCTTGCCATTCTTGGTCAGTTACCCCTGGGGTCAGTCTATAGAGGATCAGACATCCCTGCCCGATTCACACATTTATGTCCTGCTGGACCCTGCAAGCATCTTCGTTTGCAACCCTGGAGCAGAATTTTTGAGGGTTCCTCCCACCACTTAAGTTGTCAAGCATGCAAAGGCTCTATAGGGGACACAAAGGCAAATAGTACACAGCCCTGGTTTTAAGAAGCTTGAACTTAAGTGGAGCAGAAAGGCATTTCCACTAAGAAGTACCTAGAAGGCAGAAGGTACATGGTAAAATTATTATTATTATTATCAAATCTGCAGTTGATGCTGTCCATGTCCATACCGGGCATACAGGAGCCTCTTAATAAATGGTTTTTGGGTGAATGAATCACAATCCAGTGAATAGTCTGGGGACATGAAGAAAAATGAGAGCTGAATTGAGGAGACTCTGTTATTACCTGACAATATCTCCAAATGCCTTCAATATGGGCTTATTCACATACTGCAATCCATGCTTGGCACACAGGGACCTCACCAGAGGTGCCACCTTCTGATAATTGTGGCGGGGCATAGTGGGAAACAGACTAGGGAAACAGAAACAGGAGATACAAAACTTAGACCTACAGAGCAAGTGGAAAGAGGTTCTTTCCCACATTACTAAATAAAATTATGTCAGCAATGCAGACCCAACCTTGACTTTGCACAATACTGCTGCAGGAAGTTAAAAAACACTCTTGCCAAACACTCTTATCTTATCTCTTAAACTTCTGTGAGCCCTGTGGTTGGCAAAGTTTGGGAAGAGCTAAGAAAATAAATATTAGCACCATAAAAAATATTTATATTTGGCAGCTCAAATGAAAGTATGGTTTGTTTGTTTTTTTATTTTTTTTTTTTTTTTTTTTTTTTTTTTTACCATTCTAAATTATCTAGAGAGCTGGAGATATTCACCTTCCATCTCTGTCTGTCTGTCTGTCTGTCTGTTTCTCTATCCATCTAACTCTTGCATCATGAATAGATAAGGTCTAGTAATGGCATATGGGGAAAAATTCTAGGATAGGAGTAAGAAGTGAGGAAAGATGGGCTTTCATCCAAGGCTTTAACTAATCAGCCAGATGACTTTCTTGGGTTTTTATCTCCTCTTTGATAAAATATAAATAATAATTATTTCTTGTTTTGCTGGGATTTTAATATGAAAGAAAGGATAAAAAAATCCTATGAATAGGTATAAGATCTCTTCCTTCACTATCACAGAAATGGCTTAGATAAAGAGGTTATGGAAAGTCTCTCCTCTGAATATTGTGGGGAGATTAATTCAAAGGATTATCATTTACTCTTTCTTTAGGGCATGTTTGCCTAACTGACCCATTGGTAAAGTATTTCCAGATACCATTTGGAAATTGCAGCAGAGACTGGATTTCATTGTTGATTATTTTGTAACCTCAGTCTAAAGATATAGAGAGATAGGCATTTAAATTAAATTGCAATTAAGTTTCAACAAACTTGGTTACCCAGGTGTCATGTTTTTTCTTGGGTTTTGCCAACAAACCGAATGCAAAGAAAACAACAATTTCTAAATCCATGGGAATCTGGAAACCAAATTACTGGTGGTTTCTAAGATTTCATTCTATTTACTCACTATTGTTCTACTTCCTTCTTTTCTTTTTTATCCTTAATGTTAGTCGAAAGATAGCAGTCTTTAACGAATTCTGGTTCATTTTTTTCCTCTGTGATCCCAACCCTACGGCTCTGCTCTGGACTGTATGGAGGCTATTATAAGTCAGAGCCCATTCCCCTATCATGGGCTGTTTCTATCACTTACTGGTGCTCGATTTGGAAGTTCAGGTGCCCAGTGAACCAGTCATTGAAAAAAGACTGTTCAACATTACAGGTGGCCAAGACCTGCAAAGAAAAAGTTTACATTAGATAAAATAAGCTCAAGTGTCAAACAGAGAAAATGTTTAGTTCCCTCCCCCACCCCCCTCCCCTTTGGTAGGCAATCATTCAATAAGTGCTCATTGATTACCGCTTTTGTGTAAGAAACTATGAGGAATAAAAAAGATAGGTGGTCCCAGGTAAATAGCTTACAACTTAAAACAAATAAGACATTTTGCTAAGAAGTATATATAAGGCAATAGATATAAAAAAGTGCATAGAATTTGAGGGGGCTAAGTCACCATCAGCTCTTGGATACAAAAGACTAAGCTGTCACCAATGAGGACCTTGGCAGATGAAAGTGAGAATAGAGGATTTTGGGAGAGATTGTAGGGGTTAGAGTCCATTTCCATAGAATGGAATTGAAGGGCTTCTCAATGGGGAATAAGGCATTAAAGGATTTTAACCAAGGGTTCTGTGCTTAGAAGTACATTCAATGTAAAGATTTTCCTTTGTAATCTAATGTATTTTATTTTATGCATTGAAAAGTATTATCATGAGGAGTTTGTAGGCTTCTTCAGACTGCAAAGATTAAGATCCTTTGTGAATGTTATTTTACTCAATACCTTTCTAAGGTTTAATTCCAGTTGAGTTGACATTTTGAATATTATTTTTGTGGTTGTTCTATGTCAGCATTTCTCAAAGCATTCTTCAGAAAACCTTGGGGTTCCCTAGGACTTTTTTCAGGGGAGCTGCAAGGTCAAAATTACTTCTGTAATACTTCTAAGACTTTTTTTTCATTTTCATTCTCATGCTTGTACAGTAGATTTTCCCAGAGACTACAATATAGGATGGCACCATCACTCTGAGGTATTGCTTTGATTCTTATATTAATTAATAATGAATTAATAATGAATTCATAAATGTTTGAAAGTGTTTTAATTTCAACTATAGTAAATATCCATGAATATAAATAACTGATAGAAACACAAGCTCTTTCAGGTCTGCAGTGACCTTCATGAGTGTCAATGGTTCTGTAACCAAAAAATATGAGAACCACTACTTGATGCCCTATGGAAGGGTCCACTGAACTTGGAAGTGAGTTTGAAGAAGTAAGTAGAATTATGACTGGATTCTCCAGTCAATCGTGGCACAGCAGGTGGAAGGCTGAGACGGTAGGGCTGCTCTGCACTGGTTAAAACTCTGAATCATTCACAGATGCTTGGAGAGCATGTCATGTCTCCTCACTGAGCCTCTCTACCTGTACAAAGAAATGAGGTACATTCCAGTGTCCTTTTGGATGTTAAATTCATTCTGTAATTGAAAGGCTGTGTCACGTGGTCAGCAAATCTTTTCTATAAAGTATCGAACTGCAGATATTTTAATTCTCTGTCAGACCTACTTAATTCTGCTGTTGTAGCATGAAAGCATTCATAGATAATATAAAAATGTATGAATATGGTTGTGTTCTGAGAAAACTTTATTTACAGAAATAGAAAGTGGGTCAGATTTGGCCCTTGAACTGTAGTTTACTGACCCTTGGTTTAGAGCAGAGGCTCTGAAATCAAACTGCCTGTGTTTAAAACCTGTTGGTAACACCTATTAACTATGGGATCTTATGCAAGTTACCCAACTTCTTCATGCCTCAATTTTATCATTTGCAATGTGGGAGTAATCATAGCACCTATCTCATGTAGTTTGATGCACGGTAGTTGACAGTGCTAGGTCTCTGGCAAGCATTGGATAAGAATGAATTCATATTATTGGAGATAACCAGACTCTAAATCATTATGCTTTGAAGGATCCTCTCCCAGGAACTTCATTACTACCTGAGTACTGAGCCAGTCTCTGTTCTCCTCTCTGCTCATTTTCATTGGTATGTGGCTCATCTGCGTAACACATGCAATCCAAGGACTTTCAAGAAACCTTTTGGAGAATAAAAGGAGGAATTGATGACTCCTTGAGGTGTTACAGTTCCAATCACTGGGCTTACATAATTGCTGACAGAGTTGGCTGAGTATTGGAGGAAGTAAAAGTGACTCCAAGGTTCCAGTAAAATAGTGGTCATTTATTTTCCTCTTTAAATCTAGAAATGACACAGTAGGCATTTGGTCATAATACCTACCTTGCTGCCTAATGTGCAGAAGCAGTGCCCCAAAGTTTGCTGTAGCATTGGTGCAAGGATAAAAAAATACCTAACTTAAGGGCATACACAGCCTAGGCTTTGTCGTCAGATAGAGCTGGGTTCAAGGTCTGGTTTGGTACTGCATTGGACCTTACTAGCTCTGTAGCCTTGGGCAAGTGATTAAATCTTTCTGAGCTTCAGCTTCCTTAGCAGAAAATAAAATAATACTATCCACAATACAGGGTCGTGCGAGGACTGCAGCAAATGAGAGAATGCCTATTAAGTCTTTAGTGCCTAATGCAGAGTAGCTATTATTATCTTTATTATTATGTAGGATTTAGAATAATAAAGTAAAATAATGGGGGGGGGGTAAATTGGGAAGTTGAAGAGGGCTATTCAGTGGGAAGTCATTTTGGTTTTGGGAAAATTCTTAGTCATAAAGACATGTGTTAGACAATACTCATGTGAATGGGCCAAAAACAAAACAAAACTCGAGGACTGTTTATTTTAATTTCTGTTCTGTGGAAAGTGTAAAGCATTCCAACAAAGGGTTTTAATGTAGTTGGTTGGGTTTTTTTTTTTTTTGCACCAATGCTGTTAATTGCTAAATGTAATGGTCTGATTATGATGCTGAATAAATGTGTCTTTTAAAAAAATTTCTTCTCTTCCATTATCTTTGGAAGGATTATGATGTCCAACTGGATTACAGTTTTAAAAGATTTTGGGGTCAGGTGAAATACTTAATTGGGAATTAAGCAAATGGGAACAAAAAGAGAACATCAGGCCAATATTTTTTTCTAAGGAGTACTTCTTACTCAAATATTTCAACTTTTTTTTTCTTCAGTTACAGAGAATGGGGCATGATGTCATAATCTTATGCTAATCACAAATGGATTAGATAAGGAAGATAAGAGAATTATCTAGGGAATAAGTGGATATTCTTGCTTTCTTACTTGACCAAATATATGAGCAATACTGTTCCGAAGATTCCATAGAAAGGGCCAAATGTGATGAAATAGCGGATGTAAAAACTGCTGACCCAGACAATGTCCTGCAGAGAGAAGTGCCTGAAAGTTAGATGTTCTGAACACAATCTCATTTCCCCTTCACTGGGCTAGGGTCCCTTCATGTACTGGCTAAATCTTACGTCTCGCTATTCAAAAAGCTCTATCTGGAAGAGACTAAGCATTTTCATTTCCCATTTTCTACTTGATTTAGCTTCAGAGAATGAGTTGTTACTCACCTTCCAATATCTTCCGAGGTACATCACTTGCATGGATTGCAGGTTGAAATATACTGGCATGAGGAGGGGAAGCCCAACTGAAAACAACAGTAATAACAAAAAACATGTTGAATAAATGAGTAGAATGTGTCCTCAGTGCAAGTCAGCAGGGCTCTATCTCCTTACCATGCCACCCTGCAATGTTGCCTCTGAGAAAGACAGCAAGCTTGAGATCCAAAATGGGATTTTTTTATTCTACCAGGCTGAACCAGGAATTTGGTTCAAGCTCCCTCAAGAAGACCAGGGAAGCTTTCAAGATTTGAGTCATTCTTGATGGGGGCATCCTAAGAGAGCTTTTGCTGTGAGCTTTCAAGTTATCTCAAGGTCTATGGAAACCTTCCATCCTTCACAATCCTCAGGCTAGGGCCTGGTCACAATATGTCAAGGTAGCAGAAATAAAGAAGCTGTACTCCTTTCTTGGCTTAAGAATCATTTACCTGCCTTTCCCCCAGGATCAGTGAGGCCAGAGCACAAACTAGTCTTATGGAGAACCTTTGGGTTTTGACAGACTCTCTCCTTGACCACACTTTAGTCAGGTCCTCTGAGTCCTCTTCTAGACTAGGCTGTGTCCGCCTGCAAACTCTCAAACTATATAACCTCTCAGCACAAATGATTTCTTCCATCCCACATACTAAGAAACTTGAAGAAATACTAGCATAGTTTCTAACAGCTCAGGGCCACATCCCTGGGATGCCTTTCTTTTCTTAGAGCATTTATGTTAGAAATCTTACAATTGTAAATGCTTTCTCTGTCGCTCTGAGATGTATCTTCTATGACCCAGAAATGGCTTCCTTAAGGACTTTATTCTTTTCTTCTTGTAGGTGTTTAGTCTTTCCACAATTAGAGTCCTAGATTCAAGACTCTTTGATTGGCATCCTGTCTTCCATCCTTATCAGAGCATTTCTTTCCCTACCCAATATCCAGAGTGATGAAATGCCTATTAAAGATTCCTATTTGCTTCTCCATTTTTCCTTTTCAGTTTTCCACACCAGTAAGTCTAAAAGAAGGCATTCTGCTTTTCTCAGTTATAAGATAACATGGGCTGGTCTCTCTGTGAGAGCACACCAGTCATGTCTTCTAGCTTGACTACTGCTTGCTTTAAGGAAATGGAATGATAAGGAATTTGGCTCCAAGGAGACTCACCCATGTAGAAGTAAAGGTGCTGCTTTTCATAGTCAATGTATTTGATTTTCTTCTTGCCATACTGAATGGAGAGAGAATAAAACTTAAATAAGCGACAATACTTCTGGCCATTACACTCGAGGACATCTGTGTGTTTGTGAGTGTCTAAATCTCTACAGAAAGAGCCATCTGATCAGAGTTCATTGGTTGTTGAACTTAAGGCACTAGAAGAAGCAGAGGTGGAGTGGGGAGAAATATTGTGGCATTTTGCCTTAATTAATTATGAACAATTCTTATATAGATGGTTTATTCTATTTGACTATGTGGATTATGATCATTTTTTAAAAAATTTTATTACCATAGAAGCCATTTTGAGACTTTTTTGGTCCTTCTGTGGAGTGGTGATTGAAAAGGCACATTTCTCATGAATTTTTCTAGCTCTTCTTTGACAGTGGTGTTTACAATTCTGCTTGAAGCTCAGTCTCTATCTACATTCATTCAATAGATACCATGTGATAAAAGATACAGGCATAGCGTCTCCTATCTGTTCCATCTTTCCTCATTTGTGTTCTGATCATGGATCTCATGCTGTAATTTCCTATTTGTAAAGCACAGTGATATTATATATATCAGTGCTGGAAATTTGATTTATTTTCTATGGGTCTCCTTCATTCATTTAATCTTTTCTCACTGCATGAAGACAGAAAATACCTCGAGAGGAGGAATAAAAGTAATGGTTATATCTTCAATAACTAGCAGGCACTCAATAAATATTTAATTGAATGAATGAATGGTAAGTCACATCCTGCTGTATATTTTATCTGTATATTCACTCAGTTACACTATGGGCAAGGTTTGACTCTTGCTTTCCCCATTCTTTTAATACTTTCCCACCTATATACAGATTTCTTCTCTTATTTGGAAAGTAGGTCTGATCCTTTCTTCTCATATTGTTATAAATGAAAAGAAATATCATGGTGATGACATAATAACAGCTATTTGCAGTTACTCTCAAACTTCCAAATATTTAAGTAGTAGGGAAATGGAAAAGGAAATACATGAAGAAAGTTTGGGAGTTAGCAAAGCTAGGAGAAAGGCTGTTTTTAAAAATATATATATATTTTATTGATTTTTTACAGAGAGGAAGGGAAAGTGGTAGTCAGAAACATCGATGAGAGAGAAACATCTATCAGCTGCCTCCTGCACACCCCCCAACTGGGGATGTGCCCGCAACCAAGGTACATGCCCTTGACCGGAATCGAACCTGGGACCCTTCAGTCCGCAGGCCAACGCTCTATCCACTGAGCCAAATCGGTTAGGGCGAAAGGCTCATTTTGAGTGTCATTCCAAAGGAGGATGTTAAGTCTTCCAGGAGCATAGGAACTGGCACATAGAAGATTTAATTAATGCTTGTTGAAAGAATGAATGTTTGAAGAAAGTGATAGAAATATTGACAATAAAATGTGAGAATGCAAATATTCTAGACTCATCAGAACTATTTTTGACGTGAAACAACTGAATTTTAGAGTATAAATAATTTTAAGTAATGTTTTGTGCAGTAGCTTTGAAACTATGTTATATAGATCCCTAAGATGCTAGGGATATGTCCCAAGAGCAACTGTAAAACTTGGGGAGGTGGCCCCAATAATTTGTGAAGCTCTAGAGAAGCCCCTTCGGAAGAAGGTCAAGCTGCTTCATGAACTTCAGTGAGACAAATCTGTCTTTGTCAGGGGGGATGATAAATCAAATGTCACAATTTTAGTGATGACCATGAAGTTCACAAACATCAGAGAGGTCCAATTTGTTTGTGGAGCCATGGTCAAAAGCAACTGATTCACAATCACAGCCATGGCTTTTGTTTTTCAAAATATAGGCAAGAGAATTTGTTTCCTAATTCAGTTGGAAAAGAGAGTACTACAAGACCCAGACAGCAACTGACTAAGCTAGATTCTTATTTTTCTAAAACTCCAGAATAGTCATAGTCCTAGGAACATAGCAGATTCTTCCTAAGTACCCAACTCCCAGGATCCCTGTCCTCAGACCTCCTCTATTCAATGAAGACTTCAAAGAAACTTGTTGATTGTCCTTTACATGATGACATTAAGTGAGGTTTTTAAAAATATCAACCATTGAGAAATTCTGGAGTTGACTTTTTCCTTCCTTTTTCTATATTTTAAAAAAATATAAATTACAGGTATGGTCTCTAAGTATCTTAAGAAGCATTTGGGCTGTGGTTCATGTGTAAATGTAGCAAAATAAACACAAACTAAAAAGAATAGCATTGTTTCTTCTAACTGAGCTAGAATTAGTTGAAATAATTAGAGATTTAGATGTTTGTACTTTAGTGCTTATTGAATGTACTGACCTGTTTCCCTGAGTGAATGTCTCCATATTCTTGGAGAGTCATTGCTGACCTCACATCACCCGGTTTTACTACCTAACATTAGCATATGTTGCTTCAAAGCTAGTGACAGGAAGTGGGCAGGTATCTGCTTGTCATGAGGATTGCTCAAGCAGAGTGATATGAGCTATATTTCTTACACTAGGAGGTTGTACGGAATGACTTTTAAGGACATAAGAGTCATGCACTCCACACCTCCTAATTTTACAATCCCAGGTTCAGTTATTTCAAATCCACATCCTGGACTTAAAAAGAGAGATTTTTCAGAACACGTGTGAAGTTGGAAGCTTTAGCTTGATCTTTCCAAAACAAGGCAATAGGCCTTTCTAAGAACATCATCTAGAAACTTCTAGAAACCACTTCTAGGAACTTCTGTTAGCCAGGACTTCTAAACGTACCTTGATAGGTTGCAAATCTCCAACCAGGAAAAGTGGACCCACATCAATATCTGGGTCTTTTGGGTAAATGTTTGGTTTTGTGTGATGTTGGAAATGTCGGTGATTCCACCATTTCACTGACAGGCCCTGAGGAGAAGAGAGGATTCATTAGTGGTGGCAAGATTTCTCTTTTGAAATGCCCTTCAGATTAGAATTTTTTACATACATCTCCAAAGTTAAAACAAGATATTTGAGCTTCTCAAACTTGCTCCCACTGCTGGGTCACAGAATGATTCACTGGACAGGCACTCTCAAAGCCTACAGACAAATACTCATCTGAGTCAGGAACATAAATTCAGGCTCAAACAACACCTGATGGTGAAAAATTATAAGAATCTGGTGAAATGAAACAATTTCCTATCTTTCTATTTTGATTCCCATTAAAAAAAATTCTGGCTCTAGGTGGTTTGGCTCAGTGGATAGAACATTGTCCTGCAGACTGAAGGGTCCTGGGTTTGATTCTGGTCAAAGGCAGTTACCTTGGTTGCACCGGGCCCTGGTTGGAGCTTGTGCAGGAGGCAACCAATCAATGTGTTTCTCTCACATCGCTATTTCTCTCTGTCTTTTGCTCTCTCTTCCACTCTCTCTCTCTCTCAAAAAAAAAAAAAGGAAAAATATTCTTGGGTGAGTATTAAAAAAAATTCTTATAAAAAAAATTCTGGATGTAGGTGGGGCAGAGAGTAGTTTTTCTATTTAAAAATCTAAAAGGAAACCTCAGCTCTAAGACTTTAATTAGTTGTGGAGAAAAAAATGGCCCCAGGAATTCTACTTCAAATAATATTTCAAAGAATATGGATTTGAAGTGATCTCCTGGGGAGGTTGGCTCAGATCATTGCATGTCCAGGCTTCAATGCTCTCATCCTATCTAATAAAGAGGGAATATGCAAATTGACCATCACTCTGCCACAAAGAGGGAAGCACCCATAGCCACAAGATGGCAGTGCCCAGTCCCCGCCACAGTCCCTCAGTCCTTTCGGCCCAGCAGGGTGGTGGTGGTGGGGGGGATGGAGTGGCAGGTGCACAGTGCGGCCGGACCCACTCTCAGCCCCCCAGCCTCCCAGGGCCGGCCCGAGGTGCAGGCAAACCTCGGATGTTGGCTTGCCTGCACCTCAGGCCGGCCCTGGGCAGCTGGGGGGCTGAGGGCGGGTCCAGTTGCACCATGATCCTGCTGACCCCCCAGCTGGGCTGAAAGGACTGTGGGACTTTGGTGGGGCTGAAGGGACTGGGTGCCGCCATTTTGTGGCTATAGGCGCCGCCATCTTTGTGATGGAGTGATGGTCAATTTGCATATCCCCTCTTTATTAGATAGGATTTGACATCTCTCAATAACTGGCCAATACATGTTTTAGATCTTCACTAGCCAATACAGTACCCATAGCCATATGTGGCTATTGAATATTTGAAATGTGACCAAATTAAGATGGATTGTAAGTGTATAATACATACTGAATTTTGAAGATTCAAGATAAAAAAAATACAAATATTTTAATTTTTAGACTGATTACCTATTGAAATGATGATATTTGAATACATGGAGTAATAAAATTACCTTTTAAAATGTGGTTATTAGAAAATATAAAGTGACATACCGGGAACACACTATACAACTATGGTAAAAGAGATGGCTTTGTTTTAAAAATCTGTTAGCATTGCCTTCCCATAGTCTTCACTGCAGTTTTCTCTTAGCAATCCAAGCCCTCAATCATCAGGAGCAGTATTCTCTTCTCACTTCTAACATTCCCTAATGTCCTTCCAGTGGAATCTCTCTCCAGTCCAGTGCTCTCTCCTGAATCTCATGCTTGAATGGGAGATCACTTTCAAAACATTTCCTTTGGATGTCTCATGACATCTCAAACTCAACATGGAGTCATCAGTTTCTGTTGCCCCTTTTGGGGCTCCAATGAACTCTGCATTTCTCCTATCAAATTGTACACCACCCATTCACTCTTACAATTGTGTATTCACTCATTTATTCACCCACTCATTATGTACTTTGAAGTTTGTCCCATGTATCAGATACTGAAGTAGGCAATATTTAGAATATAAAGATAGACATGATAAGATGGGATTCCCACATTCATGAAACATATAATTTAATAAGTGCAGGAGACAACTAAACAAGGACACTGTGATAAGCAATGGTTCTCTCTTTCAATTAAATCCTCTGATAGCCAATATCTTGGCCTCTTCTACCAGCTTACTATACCCTTCAGCCAACAACTATCTATGGAAATTGGTAATATGAGAGACAGGGTTTGATTCACGAAGGTCAGAGAGTGTCTGCTCAAGGTTGTGGAACTTAGAACAGTGGTCAGAGTGGTGTGGGTGTGATCTAAAACAGCTGGCTCCTCCCTGGCTCCTCTGTCTGGAAGCTACAATTTCTGGAGATAAGGGAGAGAGTGATCCCGGGGAAGTAAGGATTACCAACTTCGTGCAAAACAGGCTACCGGGCACCTAGTTCCATACAGGAACCACCCTAAGTCTTTCTTCATTTTCACATTATGTACTTTCTTAGGACAGTAGCCAGGGTTTGGACTGAAACCATCCTGAATCTAAAGTCCTGCTACTAGGTGTGTGCCCTTGACCAATTTCATCATCTGTAAAATGGATGAGGTTACCAGAAGGATTACAGGAAATACCATGCTTGACACTCTTCCTCCCAAAATGTTTTAGGATGTAGTCATGGAAACAACATAAGCCAGATTTTTAAGGAAGATTTTAATTTCAACTATTCTGCTTCTTTAACTCTATAATAACACTTGATTCTTATAGTTTGCAAAATATGCATATGGGAGTGAGGGGTGAAAATATGCTACAGGGAGTCCATTTTGATTTTCACATTGCACAGAAGTCCAAAATGTATGCAGACATTTCGTGGTTTATTTTCAGAAACACTATTTTCTTATGCGAGCATGGCAAAGACCAAAATGTATTTATTTTTGCACAGCTGGTGGATGAGAATTCCAAAGAATTTCAATATCTGTGCCTTTTCCAGGTGGGAGGAGGGTAAATTAATGTGAAATCAAGCTTTGAAATTTAAAATTGTCATACATGTACAAAGCAGAGATGTTTGCTGTTTATGGGATAATTTTCTTTGTCCCCCTCAACACCCCCCCCCCCAGCCCACCTTTCTTCCCCACAGGTAACTCTCTCCTGTGCATAGTTGAAGCCTATATTAGTTTTGCTCAGAAATCACTAGTTTTGCCCGAGTGCACTTGATTTGCTTTTATTTACTTTTAAAATCTTTATTGTTGAAAGTATTACAGATGTCTCCCTTTTCCCCCATTGATCCATTATAGACCACTCTTGATTTGCTTTTAGAGCCATTTACCATTTATTTACTCTGGTCATGAGTCATCAAGATTATATCCAAAATTGTTTCTGGAGACACAATTTATAACAAGAGAGCTGTGTACAAATTTGGATCAATGGGAAAGCAGTAGTTTTTTTTAAAAGTACCAGCAAGGGTGGAGTTGATTGAAATATTCCATTCACTGGCACCAAATCAATTGTCAATTATCTCCAGAGAAGATGAGTCTCATTTTTCCTCTGACTACCTCATAGTAGGGGAGGTAGGCTGAGAGGGTACACTACCTGAATCCCACAATGCCAGAAAGAACCACCTCTGCTTTATTTCTGTGTTAAAGATTTCTGAGTAAATCCCAAAAACACTTCATCTAACACTAGTGGATAAAGGGCCGAATAGTATACTTACAGGAATTTTCCCATCAAAATTGTTACATAAAATGACAATATATTATTCCTTCTAACCATGTGGGGGAACAGATATTTCTGACCTTAATCCTGACTCAATTCTCTGTTATTTTAAGGTATTTAAGCCTCATTTTGCTCAACTGAAAACAGGGTAGGATTAGATGATGATTCTAACCAAGTATCTTCCAATTCAATATGAAGTCACTTCAATAAGAAAAAACAAAGAGGCTCTGAAGCAGAGCTTATGAGTTTCTCCTACGAGGGTCTGGTTTGAATGGAAGGATCTGGCTTAGTGAAAGGCTCAGAGGCATTTCCTATCTTCCTGAGCCAGAGCACATAGTCATCAAATCCTAGAATGTCATAGAAAAGCAAATTCAAATTTATCTCCTAATATTACAGATGACAACACTTGAGGGACGCCCTCAAGGTCACACAGTGAACTTTATCAGAGTCAAGACTAAGAGCCATTCTTAGCAGTCCTTGGTTGGCTTCATTCATTAATTCATTCATTCATTCAATCATTAATTAATAAATAATTAATTCATCCATCCATCCATTCATCCACTCATTCAACAAATGCTCATTGTGCTGGACACTTTTCTGGGTGCTGCATTGCAATGGTGCATAGGACACTGTGGCTGCCCTTCTGGAGCTTATGTTAGTGAGGATAAGACCAACTGCCATCATGGGTACCTGCTTTTTTCAGCAGACTGGGTTTTGCAACCTTCAACTCTTGACCAAAGCCATCTGAGCTTCCTTGCCCACTCACTCTTCCTCTTTCTCTTCATTTTTATCTATTCTTCTGCACCGTTTCCTTTATTTCTTCACAGCCACACCCTTTTGGGACTATTCAGGTTTGCTGGCTTTCCCTAGCTTCCCAGCAGTAAATGTTCAGAGCCCTCCTAAAAATATTCCTATTCGTGAATTTATAGGACACATCTTCATTTTTAAAGGCACAACCCTTCTTCTGTGAGGAGTTCCTTAACCGGGTGCCAGGGATTGGGTCAAAAAGCTTACTTGGGTAAGAAAAAATGTTACAGCTTCTTAAATAAAAATAAATCCTTATAAAAATTTAAAATTATATTTTCAGCATATATATTATAATGTAATCTTACATATTTGCATATATGCATAGTATCTACACTGCTAGTATATTTATATTTATTTTCAGGGTGTGCACAAACATTTTTTAACGATCTGAGTGCACAAGCAAATTTGGAAACCACTGCCTTAGGAAATGACCTTTGAGAATTTCCTCCTACTCCTTGAACATCCTGTACCTTGAGATGACACATCACAAATCTGTGCATCAGGTGGTTCCACTTGGACTTCTTAAATATGGAAAGATGACCTGTGTCATGCTGCAAAAATGAACTCTGGGCCTAGAAGAGATAAAGTTGTTAGAGGAGCTGAGAAGGGAAGAAAAATTAACAAATGAGTCCACTAGTTGATTCAGGAGTCCTTTTGGGAAGAAGAGTAGGTGATTTCGTCTGACCTCAAGGCAAATGTACCTTCTGTTTCCCACACATAACACATTCTTTCCCACCTCTGTGCCTTTGTGCAGGTGGTTTCCTCAGCCTAGAATGCTCTCTTTGCCACCACCATCAAAATCTTCCAGTGTGGAGTGGAAAGAGCATGGCCTTTGGAGTCAGGAAGATTTGGGTTCTAAACCGTTCTTCACCACTTTTGAGCTGCAGGATTCTTGGCAAGTTATCAATAGCTCTGAAACTCGTCCTTCATCTGATAAGCAGGGATAATAGTACTTTACTCTTTGGGCTGCTGTACAACATAAATACATGTAAAGTTCGTGGCCAAAGTTTGCTTCTTTTCTTGCTTCTAAAGTTGCTTTTTAAGGAATCGTGCAATGTGGCTTTTAAGAAAAAAGTTAACCTAAAATATTCTGGAATTAACATTGATGTTAATTCCCCATAAAACCTTCCCCATTTGTCCCATTCAGAATTAAATGCCTCTTTCTGCTCCAACAACACATGCTTGTCCCTCTCCTTGGCATCAATGTCATTCTGTCATGTAATATGTTTAGATACTTCAATGGCAATCTTCCTCACTGGATGATTCATTTCCAAGGGCAGGGATCAGGTGCATTTCCCTTTGTGTCCAAAACTCAGTGTTGTGCTCATAGAAGGCTATGTTCAAAGATTCATACTTTAGTCAGCAAAGATTTATCGAGTCTACATGCCAGGTGTTGGTTGTCATTTATGGCAGAATCTCTATGTTCTTATTCTCAGACTAGAGGCCCGGTGAATGGATTTCTGCACCGGTGGGGCCCCTCAGCTTGGCCTGTGGGGATCCAGCCAAAACTGGCTCTCCAAAATCCCCCAAAGGGTCCCAGATTGAGAGAGGGCAGTTCCGGGTGATGCACCCCAGAATCAGGCTCCCTCCGCTCTGGTTCTGGGTGCGTCACCCGAGAACTGCAGTTGCCAAGTCACAGAAGCTTGGCAGCTCCTGAGTTGAGTGTCTGCCCCCTGGTGTTCAGTGCATGTCATAGCTACCAGTCAGATGGTCTAATGGTCGGCCAGTCACTTAGGCTTTTATATATATAGATAAGATGTATTCTCTGCTCTTGAAGAATTCATGGTCTATGCATTGATAAATGTTGGTTGGTTAATGAATGAAAAATAAAGATAAATGTTACTTGACTGAAAACTGAACTTCTGTGGACAAAATTGGGTAAGGAGTAGCAACTGTCATAAATTATATATTTGCATTATGCCAGTGATTGTGCTAGGTGTTGTTCACATTAACTTGATTAGTCCTCCTCAGAAGACTTTTATAAAAAAATTGTTATCCCCCCATTTTACAGGCAAGAGAACTTGGGCCCAGCAAGGTTTGATAATCTGCTGGGTCCGACTCCAATGAGTAGCTTGCCAAGAAGTATCCAGCAGCAGCTGACACCAATCTAAAGAGAGAAGAAGAAATTCTGAACCTTTCCCAAAGCTATTGTCTGGGCTTAGGATACCTGCTTACCTGAGAAATTGTGAGAAGAAAGGAAATACATATTGTAATTGGCCAGCCATTGCCAAAATGCCACAGCATTAGCCAAGCCAGCGCTTCCAAAATCAAGATCTGGATGAGGTGAAGGGAAAAGAACCCCAGGTTGGCACTGAACATGTTCATAGCCTCTAATGTCCTCCGCAGTTCTTGGAAATCTTCCACCAACTGGGCCTGTGAAATATTCAAGGAGGAAATTAGTTCTTTCAGGAGAAAGAAAGCTCAAATGATCATAATTACTAATATATTTTATTAACTTATTAATACCTTGATTTTATAAATAGAAATTTATTAGTATTAATACATTTAATAGGGCAGAATTAAAAACAAAAAACAATGAGCAAAAAAAATCCTTTGAAAAATGTTATGATAATTTTTTTTCTCTAGAAAGGAGAAGATGAGTAGTTGTTTGTCAACTGTCCTCAAGCTGCATGAAACTTAGAATTAATGTCTTTTTTTGAGGGGCAGTGGTGGTCAGTAAAGATATACAAAAGTCAGCCTGGTCAGCGTGGCTCAGTGGTTGAATGTTGACCTATAAACCAGGAAGTCACGGTTCAATTCTCCGTCAGGGCACAGGTGGGCTCGATCCCTGTGGGGGGCGTGCAGGAGGCAACTGATCAATGATACTCTCTCATCATGCTTCTATCTCTCTCTCCCTCTCCCTTCCTCTCTGAAATCAATAAAAATATATTTTAAAAAAAGATATACAAAGTCTAACAGTTGTTTTTGAAACAATCAGTATTATTTCAGGTGTTGACTGATTTCTGGTTATGCTTTGGAGAACTTTGTTGTCTGTATGGATCTATGTTACCATAGATACTGGTACAGTTTACAAGTGATATTTTACAGTTTTAAAAAGTATTTTTATTGTTGACAGTATTACAGTTATCCCCCATTTCTGCCCCTTTGTCCCCTCCACCTGGCCCCTGCCCCACCTCAGGCTTTCACTTCACTGTTATCTATCCATAGGTTATGCATATATGCATATAAATTCTTTGGTTAATCTCTTCCTGCCCTCCCACCCTCCTTCCCTCTGAGATCTGTCAGTCTGTTACACTGTCAATTGTTTATATTATCAAAGGGCTGGTACATAGACAATGATGAAGATAAACAGATATAGGTCATTTAGATTAGCTCAATGGATAAATTCCTTGTGAGCTGCTCAATAGATCCCCAGAAACAAGACAGATCTCTAGTGGCATTAGAGGGTCTGCTTGTTGGAAAGGTCCTGGTTCTGTGCACATGCACCCGGCATATGTGCATGTGTGTGTATGTACAATGCTAGCCTCCATTGTCACATCATACTAGAGAGCCAGTGCAAAGACTGGGCAGAAATATCTCTTAGCTTAATGACTATTATGGGGTTGAAACCAGGCCTATTGGGAAAGTGACCAGAGTATAAGAAAGAACAGGATTGTTCCGATGTAAGAAAGAAATTTGAAATAAAAAAGAGCTAGGAACATAATTTTAGAAGTCAAACAACTTCATTGAAAAATTCATTTGCCTGGGAAAAGTCTGGATGGGCTCATCAATGAGGCCCCCATCAACCCTGGAATCTGGAGGCCATACATAATTTTAATAGGTCATCTCTAGAGTGCCTCAGAGCTTGGTCATGTTTTCCAACCTATTTATTTACAGAGACAGGGTTGCCAAAGCCCAGAAGAGTGATTGGTCTGAAACCATCAGCAAGTCAGTGACAGATGCTGGATTTAAACGTATGCTTCCTGACACCCAGTTTTGTGCTTAAACACTAATTGTCTACATATATATCTCTGGGTAAATACAAGATAATCATTCATTGTCTAAAAGAGTGTTGATCTCTGGGGGTAACCCTAAATTTTCTTTAGTTTTATATCTATCTGTACTTACATATGTATCTTCACATAGATGCACTAAAGAAAATTTATGGTAGATCGTTACCTCCAGAGACCAACACTCTTTTAAAAAATGAACACTTATAGCTCTTAGCCATTAGTGGGAGTTTCATTTCCCTAGAGAATATTTTTGGGAAAAACAAGCTTTGCATTATCTTCCTCTTTTAACTCAGAGCCTCCTGCCCTAAGTGATATTGAGTTCATGATAATGATAGCATATAAAATTTATTGAGCATTTACTGTGTTCCCGACACTGGTCTGAGCATTTAAATGCCTTTAACTCTTTCCATAATATCCCAATAACGCTGATAATGTTGGTTTCATTGTTGCCATTTTACAGAGAGAGAAGCTGAGCTGCAGAGAGTTTTGGTAACTGGTCTAAACTCATACAAATTATGGCAGGGGTAGGTTGTGAGTCTAAGCTGTCTACTCTCAGAGCCCACCCTTCTGAACGCAGAGCCATGCTTCTTGACACACACAGCCTTGTGGGATGCACATGGATCTAAGCAGTGGTTCTCAACCTTCCTAATGCCGCGACCCTTTAATACAGTTCCTCATGTTGTGGTGACCCCCAACCATAAAATTATTTTTGTTGCTACTCCATAACTGCAATTTTGTTACTGTTATGAATCGTACTGTAAATATCTGATATGCAGGATGTATTTAAGCGACCCCTGTGAAAGGGTCATTCGACCCCCAAAGGGGTCGTGACCCACAGGTTGAGAACCACTGAGTGAGCTGAAGTGTTTGTCTCAGGTCTACACATAACCAGTTCTATATCTTCAGATTCTCCCTGGACCTCTGTGAGTTTGATTCCTCATTTCTTAAAGTGGAAATATAATCCTTATTCTACCTGCCTCACAGTGATAGATGGGGTCAGCACTTTGCACAAATTATTTCCAAAGAATTATAAAGTGCAAGCTGTTTATTAGCTGAAATCCCTTTAAGCTTTATGTAAAATCATCCTGGTGAATTTTAATCTTATAGAGACCCTGTCCTTTGGAAGACAATGCTCAGGTAGCCAAAGTATTGGAGGAAGAAAGAGTGATGTCCTTCCTTGGGAAACCCTAATGGATAGAGTTCAGAAAAGAGTGACTTGAAGTCTCGGTACTTCAACACACCAGCTGTGGGACATTCAGAAAGGAATTCATTTTCCCTGGACTATAATTTCCCCAAACCTCAAAAGGGCAGTAGTCAGAATATAGTCACATCTTTGATGCAACAGCTATTTATGTAGTTTCTATTATATGTCTGATCCTGTGCAGATGAGTCCTGAGGACATAAGCCACATAGACACAATCTCTTCTCTCATGGAACACAGTGTATCAGGGAGCATAGACATAGACATTAAACTAATAATTACAAGCAGTCACTGGCAAAAATTATATGTATAAATTACCTGGCATGGAGTAGGTGTTTAGAGACATGGAATTACTGTTTGGCACAGGACCAAAAATTCTATTCCTTTGTTTCACAGAGGTTTCAGAGTTCTGAGTGGGAGGAGAACATTGTTTGGAAATATGTGGCATCCACTTATTCACACTACTGCAGGTCCACCCAGGCATGATGGCTGGGTGCTCACAGAAAATGATAAGTTGAACCTGAAATATACCTTGGCCCCATCCCTCCACATATTCTTGAGGCCTGAGACATCACTCACGTTTTTGTTTCTCTCCTGGCTGGGCTCTCCTGGGGCAAGCTCTCCAATGAGCAGTGGCTTAAGGTACAATCGTGCAATGTCAAGCTCCAGGTGCATGGCTCTGAAGACATCCTGGAGACCAGAGGGAATTGTTAGAGGCTAGAAGAGACATGCTTATCTACAGATTAGTTCCCTTCCTGACCTCACCCTGTGCCCATCTTGAGAACCAGACAGACTCCGTTGTAGAGAATTTGCATACAATTCCTGGCTGATGCTTTAAGTGGACTGAACAAAATTACCCTTGGAAATATTTGATGAAAGCTGGAGATCCACCTACTGAATGCACTGATTCACTAGGCAAGTCCAATGCAGCCAGATTTTCCCCAAGAATTGGAAGAGACCTCTATTTATTTTACTGAGAACCAGAAGAAATAGTGGCTTGAGTTTATGGGCCATCATAAATCTTTCAAGTCCAACATCATGCTTGGGGTTGAAGTTGCTTACACTAGCTAAGCCATGCAGCAATCAAGACTGGCTATGCAGATCATGTCTTCCATCCAAGTCTGCCTCTGGGTTCTTAGCCAAGGACCAGAGGAATGGGGTTCTTGAATTAAGTTATTTAAAAAACAAAAACAAAAACCACAAAGTTGATAATGGTTAAGAAAAATATGGAAGAAAGTGTGGGAGTATAGCCCTTGAGCTCTGGGTTATCTGGAGTAGCACACTCCTGGCTAAGTTTGTCACTGATCCTAAAAACATGAGGCAGTATCTGCAGGGGCTTGTGGCAGCCAGACACAGAATTGAGTTGATCAATTCTACTTTTCCATCTCAGGTCCCTTGCTAAGTAAAGATTTCAAATGGCTATGAGAAGCAGCAGTGGTTCCTATATCATGCTTATATTTGGAAGTGAGAGACATCCTCTTCCTTTGGGGATTTAAAGTTGTGGAGGGAGGGAGATTTTCTAAGAGGAAGATGCTGGACTTTCTGCTATTATGGCTTTGGGGATGAGGGTGATTAAAAATGAAGAAATATAAACAAGGTTGTGACTTGAATACTTGGAAACCATACACATTACTCTGAGTTATGTTGTTGCATAGTACTAATTAAGTAGACACAGGAGCAACCTTCCTATATATAAATCCTACTTTGCCACCTACTAGCTGTGTAGTTGTGGACAAGTCTCTTGACCTAGTTGTACTTCTCTTTTCTCTAACATGAAAGTGATGATAATAGCTGCTCAAGTCAGAAAAGAATTATATGTATTAAGTGAATTAATTAGAATATGGTTGGCAGATAGACAATTCTCAATATATGTTAGTTATCTTTCTTGTATATCTCTAGTGATAAGAACTTACTACTTATCTTCTCTGCATGCAGCAATTCAGATATTTTATTCCGATATTCCAATTTCTAATGTGTTGTGAGCTCTCAATTATTTTGCTAAATATGATAAACTCACCATCTTTAAATCATAGAGCAACTTTAGACATAGCCAAGAACTACATACCCTACTTATATAAAGGTGCTTATATAATGAATAAGGTTAATTGGAAATCTGCAATATCAACTCTGGATTTATTTCACCTAGAGTCACTGATGTGAAAAGAGATTTGTATCTGCTAAAAGCAGTCTAAGCTCGACTGTCCATTCTGCTTCTGCACACCTCCTCTAACCCCCTTGGAAAATGCCAAACTATATGATTTGAAAGGTGTTTTTTATTGTCACATTCAATGATTCTGAAACTTAGTTCCCCTAACCATGAAGAGAATCATTTAGTGATTAAGAAGGTGATTAAAGTATTTCCTGATGATCCAGACTGAAAAATCATGGTCTGCTTGCTGTTTGGGAGCAGATTAGAATGCAAAGCATTCTGATTGATATAGATCAGAGTGTAAAGGAGAGGTAAGCTATTGAAATTTCATCTTAGTCTGAGCAGTCATCCAAAGTCCTGGAACAGTGTGCTGACAAGCACATTCCTCTGGGTTCAGTATTTCTTCTGACCCCCTGCAAGGTTCAGTACTGTGATAGCAGGTACTGAAGACCTACACATTGTTCCAGAACAGTATGCATTGCCCTGCTCTGAGGAATTCTTTTCATTGTATTGATGGGCAGTACAATAAAAAAGTTTAGCTAGTCTTAGAATACTTGATGTAGAAGAATTTCCTAATAGAGACTGAATGTTGAGTCAGTTGTGAAATCCCCTCTTGAAAGACCTGCAAAAACGAGTTCTGTTACCAACATTCTTGGGCAAGTATGTTCCTGCTGAAGGAAGGAGAGGGGATAAAATGAAGGGGAAAAGAGATACTGCCAATATTTATTGAATGTGTCCTATGTACAAGGTACTCAATGGGCCAATTCACAATCATCATCTTAGTGCTGTGGGGTTTCATTGATTCTATTGTAAAGGTAAAGAAACCATGTCTCAGAGGGGAGAAATGTCTGGCCCCAAATGCCAGAGTGAATAGTAGAGTCAGGATTTGAATTCAGGGCTTTGTGACTTTAAAGCCACGAAGCTGTAAAGCTCCATTCCAGCCTTAACATGAACATATATTTTTGAAAGACCTCTCAAGAGAGGAGCAACATCATGACACTTAGTTCCTAGAACTTTTCAGGTTATATTGTAAACAACCTGTGTCTCCACCCCTTCTCCAGTGATCTTTGAGTTTTTTGAAGATTGGGACCATGTACTATTGATTACATTATACATACCATCTATCAGTATGCCTGGAGTATGGCATGTGATCATGTATGTCTAATGGATAAGGGAAATGAATGAATGAATAAATGAATATAGGGTTTTTCTTTTTTTCTTTTTAATCCTCACCCGAGGATATTTTTCCATTGATTTTTAGAGAGCATGGAAGAGAAAGAGAGAAACATTGATGTGAAGGAAACACATTGATTGGTTGCCTCCTGCACATGTTCCGACCAGGGCCCTGGCTGAGGAGCCTGCAATGGAGGTACAAGCCTTTGGAGGTCAAACCCAGGACCCCTTGGTCCACAGGCTCATACTCTATCCGCTGAACCAAACCGGCTAGGGCTGAATATAGAGTTTTTATAACAAGTAGAAATTTGGGATCATCAAAGTGTCGAACTCAGAGGATATAGTTCTTAAGCATTACTGTCTCCTTCCTATCCACTGTATCTCTCATTTTCTGACCTTTCTGCTGCTTTAGCCTCTCCATTTTCATCTGTTAGCCTTTTGAATTTCTTCTCAACCATCATCTGTACTCCTAAACCTATTCATAAATTTATATCAAAATTTATTATTTTCAAAACAGTATACACACAGGAAAAATGTGATTTTCACAACTAGCTTGGAAATCCTGATAATTTTTTGCTGCTTTTTAATGGGGGACAACAAGATGTGCTTTACTATAAAAGCAGTATGATTCCTAGTGGAAGAGAAAAGTATGTAATGCCAGAGACAAAATCTTGCCTTTACAATTCAAGTACTGTATCCAGGTTGTGCCCTGCATTAAGGCACCCAGCCAGGAGGGAATGTATGGGCTGAAATTCAGCCAGCACTCTGCTTGCCAACTCTTCAGCTGCAACCACCCACAGTCACAGTGCAGGCTAGTAGGGGAGCAGGCTGGTTTATATTGGGAAGATTACTTAGTTTTTTAAACCTTCGTCTTTTTTCTAAATGTGGATAATACTACTACTTAGTCTGCCCCATAGTTTCATTAATTCCTATGATCATTTATTCAGTCATTCCAAAACCGGTTGAGAATCTAGATAGGTGGTTAAATTTTGGAATCAGACATCATTAAATGACTGCATTTTTGTATTATTTAATTCATCTGAGGTGGGTTAAAATTTCCCAAAATTCAGGAAAGAAAAAACTGATGACAAATGTATGCATGAATCGCAAAACAAAATCACTAGAACCTTGATTTACTCACTTCAGAAAAGCTCATCAGAATATTCAATGCCCAACCACAGACACCCATTACCACCTCTTCGAGTAATTTCTTCTCTGCTCACCCTTTTCAGATTTCATCTGCTCCAAAGCAATGGTTAGAACAAGTTTGCCTCATATTTTGGGTAGAGCATGAGTTGTGAGAAGGCCGATTTGTGAGGAGAATGCAATTTTTACTATTTTCTTGGGAGAGAACCAATTTTGAGTAGAGAATGTCACATGAACTCACCCAGATTTCTTTTCGTCCTCGGGGATAAGCAGAGAGTTATTTTTCTCACTGCAACTCATTCTATTTCTTGAGAACTTTCAATATTTGAAAACTCTTCCTTATACTAAGATATTTTTTCTATGATACTTTCAGCTGAGCTCCAGCCCAAACTCTCTCTCTCTTTCCACTCTCCCTACGAACCGGCTCCCCTGTCCCGTAATAGATATCACCACCTAGTTACCTAAGCCAGGTATCCATAAGTCAGTTTAGAGTCCTTCATCCTATTTACTTATGCAGTCACTCATAAGTGAATGAATGTCCTTTTATAAGGAGGATGAAGGCTTGGGGAAGAGTCGCTGTGTCAATAAATTTTAAAAAAGGTGCGTACTCTGGACAGGTGTAGTCATGAGTCCAGGGGCAACACAAAGAGACTATTTTTGGGTCCACATTTTCCTTTCAGGGCATAACCTACAAAGACCTCTCAAGTCATAGAGTATTGGACATCAAGGCCTCTGACTTTGTTCTGCCCTCTTTCCCTAGAGAGCATGGTGCCCTCCACCTTGTACCCTCTGTTTCCAATAGATGGCATCCAATAGAATCAGGATTTCTAAGCTGGTAGTAAACAGAAAGTAATAATCACACCCCGGAGGCTATGGATGTCGGAGATATGAATAGTTGTAGCTACAATGGAATGGAACTTTATTAAAGTGTCCGACATTGTTCTGAACACTTTACAAGCATCAGTCCCATTTACCATAGACCAGTTAGATGGGTAATGCCGATGGTGAAGCTGAGGTGCAGAGCATTCCAATAACTTTTCCCGGTTCATTGAAGGACCCCAAATCCCAGGCTCTCCATTCACTGAGTAGTCACAGCATGTTGTGGGTGTCAGAATTTCCCCAGCACCCTCCCAAACTTCTTGAGCCACCTTCCCTTGGAGAATCTTTTCTCTGAACATTTTTAGATTCACTTTCCTAATATCTGAGGTCCATGACTGAACATGCTCAGGATTTTCATTCTCAGGATATGAATCCTAAGGTGGCATGAGTATTTTCCCCTGGGGTTCTGATAGTTTCTATTTTATTAATCAATTCTCCTTGTTGGCTAGAATTAGATCAGAATCACGTCTTTTCCTAACTTCTGGGAGGTAAAAATGATCAGCAAATTAGAGATTTATCATCTGAGCTGCCTCTAGCTTGGAATTTATCCATGATTTTCATGGTGGCTGAGACCCACGTCTTTGCCAACACATCCTCTGAGTTCATTCTATGACTTGAGTTAGGAAAGCAACAACCATATTTTCTCTGAGTTGTGGGAATGCGGGAAGGGATACTTAGGAATCTGTAGTATTTTTTATTCCATTTTGTTTTTGTTACTTTCTCTTTCTATTCTTGCACACATTCTTTCCACCTCACTTCTATCCTCAGCTCTCTGGATTCCTACCCATCATTTATCTTCCTGATACAAAAGTACTCCCATCCCTTGCTACAAGCACATGCTCATTTTCTCAATAAAAGGTTGAACTTTGTTTAAAAAAAATGTCTGATGGAAATGTTGGGGAAGTAGCAAGGTATGTTCAGAAATGTATTTGCCTGACTGTAGAATCAAGATATGAAGATGGTGGAAGAAGAACCTGCTCCACATATTAATTTTCTGATTTTGGCTTAGTTAGAACTTTTTCTAATATGTTTTTATTGATTGATTGAGAGAGAGAGAGAGAGAGAGAGAGATAGAGAGATAGAAACATGAATGAGAAATATCATGGAACATCTGCCTCCTGCACTCCCTCTAGTGGGGATTGAGCCCACAACCTGGGCATGTATCCTGATTGGGAATTGAATGGTAACCTCTTGATTCCTTGGCAGACACTCAACTGCTGAGCCATTCTGGCTGGACAAGGTTAGTTATATCTTTTTACTCTCATTTCTTCAAATGTGTAATGTGGGCAATAAAATTTCTAATTGGCAAAAAATAATCTTCCTTATTGAATATTTTAAAAGGGCTTCCTAAATGCATCTAAGGATTCAAAAGACCTTCCTATTAAATGTTAAATGGAAATTTTATTTGTAAGGACTCAGCTACAAAGGCTTTTATGGTAAAACACCTCCCTGATTTCAAAATTTGGCAATATTACTTGGTGGCTGTGTGCATTATTTGCCTCTTTGAACATTAATTATCTGTAATATGGAGATGGTATCCACCTTCCCCATGGTGAGGTTTAAGTGAGGTGATGCATTTGAATGTGTCTAAGGTATTCTAGGCATCCAATAAATGTTACACTATTTTATTTCCTTTGCTGCTTTGGTGTGGGAGGGTGATGAGAAGTAGTGAAGAAAAGTGGAAGATTGGAAGCTAAGAAAGATAAGTTTTTGAATCTGAGCTCTGTTGTTAGGTGACCTTGGGCCAATCAGTTATCTTCTCTGATTTTAATTTCTTCTTCCATAAAAGTGAGTTGTATTACCTCTTTGACACTGAATGAACTGCAGGACACAAAAGAGCTCTGCAAAGCCTAAAAGCCTATGTAATTGTAGGCTTTCACCATTGTTATTAACAACATTTTTACTAGTATGCTTAATAGATGAGTCACTGACTTTCTTTTAAACACTCCAAATTAAAGAGCCTGAGAAATTTATACTTGGGTACATTTCCCCCCCTCTCCCCCCCCCAGATTTTACTCACCTATTTGTAACTTTCTTCTTACAAAACAGCAACTCCATTTCAAAGCAAAACACCAAGAACAAAACGAAAACCAGAAGGCACAAATATAGTACCCACTGTCAACATCTGAGCTCATCCCAAACCTGATTCACATAATAGCTAGACCTTGAGGCTTACGTTGCTTCCGAATCCTTGCCGGATAGGAATCCTGAAAAATTAGTTTGGGAGGAGATGAGCTGTTGTGGAGCGTGAGCACCTACTTGACATGCTTTTGGGAAGAGAGTTAAGGTCCCACCCAGCCAGCAGCTGGAACAGAGAGAGGATAGAACTTGGCGTTCCTTACCGTGGCATCTTCCCCCGCATAGTGGTTGAGAACCCGCCGGCCACCTGGATGTCGGTCTGCCCAGCTAGTAACATCGTAGACCTTGCGATTGATCACCAGCCACTGGTCGGTCTCCTGATTGTGTCTCTGGATCTCCTGCCAACTGTACAAGTTGAGGCTCTTTCTAGGTGTGTCACCTTTCCCATCTGCCTCCTGCTTTGGGGAGACCTTTGCTTTCCCGTTTGCTTCTGGTTTGTCGTTTGCCTGATGCTTCTCCTCCAGGGGCAGCTGACTCTTTCCTACAAGGCTCCCATTGCCTGCATGCTTTTCTTCAACCTTCGTCATCACAGAAACCCTGAGATTTCTGGGTTGACTCCTGAAACTTCTAATCCTCACCTCTGATTGGTTCATAAACTAATCCCTCTTTCCCTTTTATTCCATTTGTAGTATGATGCCTGCACAGAACACTTCTTTTTAGCTTAATTTTCTCTTCCCAAACTTGATGGTGAACATATCCCCAGCCTCTCACTTCTGTCTGTCCTGAATCTTTTCTCCCCAGATGGAGGCCGAACCACCTTTCTCTCCTCACTTCTCTCCCTGCTGGCTGGTCTCTTAGCAGCATCTGTCACCATTAAGTCCTTAAGTAAAGAGTTGTGACCAATGGTAGTCCAGCACAATGTTGTTGCCTGCCCCCACCCCCACCCCCAGGAGGAGGGGCTAGGGCTCTGTTAAGTAACTTTCTGCTCTGCATCAAGGTGGGTTGGGTTCCTAGCTCTCTGAATGAAAACATTCAGATTTCTTAATTCAACATGTGAGCAGAAGTTTTCAAAATCTCCAGGATGACATGAATGCTTCATGGACTTGACAGCTATTTCTTTCCAGGGCTTTTAAACTTTTTAAAAATACTTCTTGTAAAGGTTTATATTTACCAAAAGAGCATGTCAACAGTAAACCAGTTTCTCTCTTTTATTTCCCTTTGAAAGCTGTCCAAATCTGTCCACACACCTGAAAGTAACAGCCACAGCTGTTTGCTAGAACACATGATTTATTTACAAAACCCTGGTCATGTGCTTTATCTGGTTGTATCCTCACATTAACCTTTTGAGGGAGGTGCTGTTAGTGTCTCATGTTCCAGGTGAGAAAACACTGGCTGAAGACCTCAGGTAAGATGAGCCACAATCACCTTATCAGTGAGAAGTAAATCCAGATTTTCTGATTCCAAGTCCCGAACTCTTTCCATTCAGTTCTCTGAATCTAGGGTCTAGACATAACTTGACTCGGTGGTTTAGAAATGAGGTGAAGAAGAGATTACAGGGTGATGGTGGTGGTGGTGTCTTAATGTTAAAAAGAAATAATAGAAAAAGACCATTTTCATATTTAGAAATTGATACTGAGTAAATCATCAGTGTTTCAGCCCAAGATTTATGTACTCAGGGATTTATTCCAGTATGATTTACGATTTATAAATGCTAAAAATCAGCAATGGCTTAAATGTCCAACTATAAACAAGGCTGTTTTTTATGTATAAATGGAATATATATATATATATGATATTTAATTATATATATAATATTTAATTACATGGACTAATGTTTGCAAAATAAGAAGTAAAAAATTAGTAAATAATATTCTGCTCATGATTGGAGAAAAAAATGCTAAAATATTGGCATTAGTTCTCCCTGTTATTAAAGTTTTTTTCTCTTTTTTTATTCTGTGTGGTCCTTTAAATTTTTTTTTTTTTTTTGCAAATGAAGACATGTTACTTTTATAATTTAGATAAAGCAGGATTTTGTTTTCTTAAATAGGGAACCCAAGAAAGAAAGAAAATGCATAGATTTTGGAGCTAGAAGAATCTGGGACCATATTTGAGCTCTTCTACTTATTAGCTGTACAACATGATGTGAATTACTTTACTTCTTTGGTTTTTCATTTTTCCATCTGTAAAGTGAAAAAATAAACACAATTCTCAGAACTACATTAAATTAACGTGTTATGGTATTTACAGAAACCCTCAGTAATTTCCATAATTTCTGTATGGGAGTTTTATAAATCCAACATAAATACATTTGGTATTCAGAAGCTACATATATAAGTCCAGGATAGCTCTGGAATTTCAGTATAAGTGAGGTTTGAAGACTACAACCTGGTTGGAAGTTTGTGGGAGAGGGAGTTCAGGGAGTTGTGCCTTCGATATCAAATAGACTTATAAAGACAGCTCCTCATTTCTTTAAAACATTTGTACTTGTTTTGTACAGTCTCTCTGAAGGCCAGGAGACTGTTTACAATCCTGGAAATAACAAACTTTGGAGCCAGAAATATCTCAGCTGAATATTCTTACACAAGATTCTTATGATCTCTGTGCCTCAGTTTTGTTAGTTTATAAAATGGGGTGAACAGAAACTACACTCATAAGTTTGCAAGAGAGATTAAATTCTATTATGTACTAGAGGCTTGCAGTCCGGGAGCCCTCGGGGGATGTCTGCCTGCTGGCTTAGGCCTGCTCCCTCTCACAGTCCGGGACCCATCACTCCTTACCACCCACCTGCAGTGGAGGTGGGAGAGGTTGTGAGCCCAGCTTCTGGCTGAGTGGTGCTCCCCCTGTGGGAGTGCACTGACCACCAGGGGGAAGCTCCTGCATTGAGCATCTGCTCTCTGGTGGTCAGTGCATGTCATAGCAACCAGTCGTTCTGTCATTCAGTCGATTTGCATATTAGGGTTTTATTATATAGGAAGGGAAGAGATTAGCATAGTACCTAATACCTAGAGGTTGCAATAGATGAAGCAGCTGTTATTATTGTTATTGTAGATATTTTTATTTTTGCTTTGGAAAGTAGTCACCTGTGTTTGTTATTCTTTCAGACTCTCAAGCCTCACATAATTTTATTTGTTTTAAAAGAAATATTATAGAAAACACCTTCATTATTAAGGCCCAGGAAAAGAGACCAGAGGTGTTTGATTATGGAAGGTGAAACTCTTTTGATTCTGCCTTTTGTCCACCCCAAAATAAAGGGGACATCTGGGACTTTTTAGGCTAGGAGTTCTGTTCTATCTTCTCTCAGGAGGGACTGACTCCCCATAATTTCATTCTTATTTTACTCAATTCTGTGGAATAAAGAGAGAAACAGGGTAGTGGAAGAGAAATGGATAAATGTGAATGAAATTATATCCTACCCAGCTGGTGCAGAGGGGTTAAGAACTAGGAGAAAGCCTATGTAGTTACCTAAATATTTAGCTATGCTTGTTTGATTGATTGATTCCTAAAGGTGCATGCCTGAGATGTTTTCCTTCAAGATAAGAAAAGCCGTTAGCCCAGCTGGTGTGGCTCAGTCAGCCTGTGAACCAGGAGGTCATGGTTTGATTCCCAGTCAGAGCACATGTCTGAGTTGTGGGCTTGATCCCCAGTAGGGGGCATGCAGGAGGAAGCTGATAAAGATTCTCTTTCATCATTAATATTTCTATCTCTCCCTCTCCCTCTTCTCTGAAATCAATATATTAAAACAAATTCTATAAAAAGAAACAAGAAAAGCTGCTAGAAAACCTCCAGAGATCAGTTGAAATGGATCAGAGAACACTTCGATGGGCTCAATTGGAATTTCTTTCATTACTCCCTCATAGTAATACTAAAATCTCCCCCAGGTGAGGGCTTACCTGCTGTTTTCTGTGCACGTGATGCATATCTAGCCATGTCCATTTACTGTGCATGCTCACCCAAAACATACCTCAACATGCTATGATGTAAGCAACAGCCCTATAAAACCATCTGGTCTTTTGTTCTTGGCGAGAAACTGCTCAGGGAATGACCCCCAGTGCACTCCTTGTTTGCTGGCCAGCAATAAACTTTCTTGGAATGTGTTTTTGGCTGACCTCTACCAAGTGGCTGGACCCCATTCCAGTCAATATCAAAATGAGATTTAAAAAAAGGGAGCAGATAAGAAAGAAGGAAGTGGTATGGAGTAAAGAAAGGAAGTGCCTATTATAGTGGTAAAAACTGACTAGGTGACGAGGATGCTGGTTACAGGGTGACCCCCAACTAACTGCTTGCCTTGTGCCTTCACTGAGACTGAGTTTCCTTATATGTAACATGGGAAGTTGAAATGGACAGGGCTCCAACGATGCTTTGAGTTTAATAGTCTATGAAAAGATGAGCGAACCTTCCTAACCTCATTTTATAAGGAAGTGTAACAATGGGCTTCTGTGTAGCTTTTGTGTACTAGTAAATAGCTGTAGAGTGCTGCTGGCCAACAGGAATGAACCTGCCCTTCCCAGAGGGACCTCTGTGGTTTTGGAGCAGCCTAGAGCTAGTTCCTCCACTGGCCTTGTCACAGACGGAGAGCACACGACCTTTGCTTGCTGAGGGCCAGTCTCTCCCTTCTCATGCAAGGCCCAGAAAGTATTGGTACTGGAGGTTTTCTTAGCAAAAGTCCTCAGCACACTGGGCTCCCAATAAACATTCCTTTTCAGAATAGATGCAAGTTGGTCAGAACCTGGGTATTGTTGGTTGTGTGCAAATCGTTCCCAGATCAGCCTTCTGGAGATCTGATTCCCCCCAAGTAACTCATCTTCCCAATGATGATCTAACTCTGGGGGAAATGAGGTAAGTGCCTCGTCTCAGAGGTAATGCTGAAGATTTTCTATAAGGGTAGGATTCTGGAATATCAATTCCACACGTAGCTTTTTGAGAAGCTAGCATCTTTCACCAGTGGAGTCATTCGTTTATTTACAGATCAGTCTGAGCCTGTTATTGAGTAGCTTCCAGAGGGCTGGCATAGTGCTCTAGGGCTTCATTGGCTTTTAAAAAAAAAGGTGAGTGTTTCTGACCTCATTTTTTTTTCATGGAAGTCAGAGTAGGGGTTAACCACGACTTGAATATATGTATTCACTTACTCAGGAGATTTGAGGTAGTATCCTTGGTCCAGACAGGTTAGACCAGGGCCTTCGGAATCTCAGCACCCTACCTCTCAGCCTGAAGCTTGTCAGACGCATATAGTAGTTTCTCCTGACATTAAGGACCTTTACAGAATTTATCAAAGCTTTACAAAGAATTTATCATTTTCTATTTGCCATGCTAAATAGCCTGGAGATGAGAGGTGAATAAAACTTCCTTTTCTCTGGAGAGCATTTAGTTTCTTTTAGAGAGGCAGACTTCCAGAGTTCACATCCAGGACTATTGCTTCTAGCTCTGTGAACTTAGACAAGTGTCTCAACCTCAGATTTTTATAAAATGGGGATGATGCTCATAATACTGAATACCTCATGGAATTTTTTTTGTGAAGATTAAATGTGTTAATTCATGTAAAGGGCTTAGCATGTATTAAGTTCTCTGTAAGTGCTAGCTACTAGTACTCTGAGTCAGCATATTATTCAACTGTAGCAAATATTTGATGAGCACTTGCTATGGCTATGTAGGGCATCTTTACAATAATTCTGTTTTCTTCTTCTTCTTCTTCTTCTTCTTCTTCTTCTTCTTCTTCTTCTTCTTCTTCTTCTTCTTCTTTTCAATTACAGTTGACATTCAATATTATTCTGTATTAGTTTCAGATGTACAGCAAAGTGGTTAGAAAATCTAGTACTTTATGAAGTGGTCCCCCCTGGCTTTAAGTACCCACTACATAGTTATCTCGATATT